TAATCTTTCTTTTTGAATATATTATTGAAAATATCGCATATCACGATGATTGAATTTATTCAATTTCGTAGCATTTATGTATGATACGTAAAATGTATTATATTATGCGAGAACAAAATTGTAGCTCCATAAATATTTTCCTTAGCATATCTTCCAGTGTCAATACAACTAATTTCTAAAGAAATAGAATTTGTTTAATCTTTTTTCTTTAAATATATTATTAGAATATTCTACATGTTATAGAACTGTCATATCAAACTTCTTCGTAAAACGTAGGTACAATTTAAATATCTGTCGAGACGAACGATTTTTAAGTCACTCAATTAAAGTACTGTCGAGCGAAATGCATCGAGAAACGTTTCAACCACTGATACATATTCACAGTCGAAATAAAATTACCGTCGCGTAAAAATAAAATATCGGTTATCAGAAAAACTTGGCAGCGATGTGACACATGGCAAAAAACCGCTGGTCGACCTATTTCCATAAAATCAAGTGGGAACGACAAAAATTTGGTCGATTAATGGATATCGCCTGTATTTATCGCCTGGCGATGTAACACGGCCAGCAATTAATACGCCGTTATATTCTCTCTGGTTCAGAAAGCTCGCGTTCTGGTTCGGAAAGCGTCCCGAACCGCTGAATGGATATTTGTTGGAGAACTATTACCGCTAGATCACCGAACATAGATCTGTAATTGCGCGTCAATGCTTCAGGGTGCGAATCGAACATGCCACGAGGAGAACGGTATTTCATGTGAATCGAAATTGGGTTGTAGAAAACCTCTAATCAATTACGGTATACCTAAACGATTTTGATAATAGCAAACTCGTGTAGCGTGAAAATGCTGATGAGGATCATTCAAGAAAGCTCCTTATATAATTTTTTTGACGAAACATGAAAATTCTCTGTTTTCTGACTCTATGGTTAAGTCTTACAAGCATAATAATTCCATGTGCAAAACAGATGAATAAGCAACGAACAATTCCGATAATAATTCTCCTAACTATTCCAAAAATGATTAATCGAATCTTCAAATTAAAAAAAATTAATTGTCAGAGGAAAGCACAGAGTGCTCGGACGATTAAAATCGCCTCGTCCTTAACGTACCTTGAATTCTTCGCGCAGGTACCTCCTGTGCTGCATACCAAGGAAGCTCCGTAGACGACAACGTCGATCGTCGGACCTCAGCTCGCGAGGACGAGGCCAAAGCTTCTCGATGATGAGCTCCAAGAGATACTTGGGCGATTCTCGTCGAGGACACCGTGGCACCATGCACATGTCCATACTAGGAAACGACAGCAGGACCAACATCCCGATGAAGGAGCAGGAGACCACCATAAGCTTGACCGCGTGTCCAAACGGCGTCGAGGACGGTCTGAAATGCGACTTAAATTCCACGACGGAGTGACGAGCAACCATCGAACGCGAGTGCTCGTCAAACTATAAAGACTGAACGATCCAACGATCGTCCGAACCGACAGTGATCGCGACATGTGTTTTACCTCTCCCGCGTAAAAAGATTCGTTCGACCACATCGAAGTTCAATGTGTTTGAATTAGAGAGCCGTTCTCGCTGGAAATCCCACTCGAGGGAACAAACATTCACACGGGAGTTCGATTTCAAGGTGCAATGTAATCCGGTCGCTTTGGATTTCATTCTGAAAATATTTTTGTGACGCCGATCTTTTTTATACGGGCTGCAATTTTTGTTGTCCATTTAAAGGACAAAGGTGTTGTGCATTTACCGTGACTTCTTTAATTCCACTAGCGTAATCTGTTCGCGAGTCATGCTTGATCGATATCTCTTTAAGTTTTCGAGACAGGACTTTCGGTAGACCAGCGAGAAGGGCTGTAAAACGAGAAGGGCTCTCAACGATCGTTCGCACGACGAGGTGGAGTTGAATTAACACGTTGGTTGCCTCGTCGCGACCGACTCGGTGGATATGTTAATAAGGAGATGATAGCCTCAATTTTCTTGGTACATAGGAGCACCGAGTTTGTCCAGAAAGAAGGAAATTAATTGTTGGAAAATCCCTCGTGTGGAAATGTGCTTTTATTCCGATGACAATAACTGACATGACACTACGAGCAAAGTATATATCGAGATTAATAAATATTAATTATCTTACGAGATTAATATGGATGTAAAATTGTAGAAGATCGTCTCAGATGAAGACAAAGTGCAACACGGCTTTCTATTAAAGATCTAAACAAAATTAATTACGAAGGCTGGGAAATAATGAAAATAAATCTGAATAATATTTGTCTATCAGTCTCGAGACAAAATTTTAGCCTTGTAAAAGTTCGTTTCAACCCGGTAGCCAACGTGTTAATACGTGTCTCGTTGCGAACAGCCATTGTTTCTCGTTGCGAACAGCCAGCGCGAGCTCGACCGTTGTCGAAACCGGCGCTAAAAACCGGAAGCAATCCGTCGATTGCGTCGGTACGGTTTGCGGGCACAGAGACTGCCACAGTGTTGTACATTCAACGCGCAGCGATTTTGTGAATAAAATTCAGACATCGAGTCCACGGCGCTTTTTATCTACCATCGTTCGTCCTTTCGTTCTAACTTCCCTCTTTCATTCGGTTACTACTTCCTTTCAGAACTCGACGAAAAATCGACGACGAAGTCTCCTCGAGATAATTCAATTTCTAACCACCGAGCGGATCTACGCGACGCCCCTTTCGACCTTTATTATCTCCACTCTGTTCCTCTCATTTTATCGAGAATTTAATAATTGAGCTCTTACTTCCACCGATCGAGGATCCTTGGGGCACTCGATAACGTTCGCTCGGGACGAAGAGTCTCTTCAGGGAGGAAGAGACGACGAGGAGAGGAGCATATTTACGAATTTTTGGGGGAGAAAGGGAAATTTTTCTGGTAATAAGTTTCAGGATATTCAAATGAACGTTTCTTAGTGGATTTGGCGCAGTTTTTGTATTTAAAAATGTCTTGAATTAACGAAGTTGCGACAGTCCTCTACCTTGGTGCTGGGTTGTCAGAAATGTTGGAATAATTTGTTTTTTACTGTGCAAGATTGCTATTCCTGATTTCCACTGTTACGCCACCTAGTTTAATCCAAATTAAATGTATTAGTTTGTCTGGAAAGTTCGTACCGATTTTCGGTAGGTGGTAAACGTCTGTTTCTATTGGAATGGTTGAAAACAATTAACATGGGTGCATCCCTTAAAAGGTGGAAAATTCAAATGTGCCTTTGAAGTTTTCTTAAAAATTGCCACGAACTTTCTGGACAACCCAATATATTCACTTGTTTCTCGTACATTCTTTGTGAAAGTAATTTGCGTACATCAAATCCCAAGAAATTTAAATAATTCTAATCTTTTTGTTTGAATGGCAACTTTACATTCTGGAAATCCCAGAAGTCGCATAAATATTCGTACCCTCGACTGAAGAAAGTACAAATTAAATAATAGGTTTCACGTTTCCAAATATTTTATTACATTATAAATATGTACATGAATAAACTTTACACGTGTATCTAAGGGAGGTTATTACTTCTACTAGTATCACTGTAAGGTTGTTACTTTTCTTCATATCGTGCGTTTATGCGTTTGTGAAGTTTATATGTTTGATATACTTGTTTAACTACACTAAATATTAAATATTAAGTACCCGTTATCATTTTATTTCATTCAGAGAGTACTACGTTATAATGAATAATTTATTTAGAAACGCGACATCTCTCATTTAATTTAGACGAAACTTCTTCACTGAATATAAAAGGCACGAATACTTACGAGACTGATTGTATACCTACAATCTGTGATTTTTATCCCTACTGAAATGTATAAAATACTCGAAGCCTAGCAAAATAGTCATCCTAACATTCTACAGAGACAGTTTATTGTTTTCATAAAATTTTATAACATTTTCCAACGATAATAGGGAAACGGATATCGAGTAAATTCTTGAATGGCCGATGAAGGGACATTTTCTTTATGCGTTGCGTAACAAAATTGAACGGCTTTAGAGACTCTAAACTTTTATGTCAGTGTTACGGATATAGATTCATAAACGCAATTGCAAAGTACGATTGCGCCATATATATCCGATGGAATCCCATTATTTTTAATATACTATTCAACGCAGTTTCTTATTGTCTATAAACCGCACATAGGTCATTTCTTCAGGAAATTCTTAGCTCGAGAGACACTTTATCTTCGAGTTAACGTACTGCACTTCCTATTTTTCATTCTTATCGCATTTAATTCGTCTTCTTATCGCTGCTCTCGAATTCCGACCAGCACTTTTTAGCATTTTCGAAAGTATTAAAAGGATGCACTTCTCGATTACTTTTGTTTTTCATCTGTGCCGTCATTATTTCATGAAGTTTAACTATCTCTCTTCCGCTGTGTTTTCAATTTTTCTCTGTCATTCGACTTATTCGAACGACGTCTTCGCCGAGCATTTATCACGTTTTCCTTTGCCACGGAACCGTTTAATCATACTTCGTGGCGCGAAGCGACTTTTATTAACCGTTTCGCCTGTAACCGAATCAGATTTCCCTTGTTGAAATAATTTTAATACAATTTTCCTTTCAGAGTATTATCAGAGTATACAGAGCATTCATATTCACAACGTTTGTTTCCTTCGATCTCCGTGGTTTCGTATTCGATATTAAGCTCGATTGCATAATTCATTTAAAGGGACGTGGCCACGTATCCTCTGTGATAGTCTACGGATCAGAACTCTCTCCTGTAAAACATCTCGCTCCCTAGGCTCCCGGCATGGAACAGTGAAAGCTTAAGTTTAGTAAGTCAGATTTGATATTTACTCTGTCAACGAGATGCAAGGAGAGAGAACTGATACGGAGCTTCACCTTAGCTTCACCACGAAATTAATTCTGTGCTCTTTTCAGATCAAATTATCATTTCTTTCTAAAAGAAACGTATACAGTCAATCCCATAAGTATTCGTACCCTCTATGTCTTTTAAAGAAATTCGTATAAATTAAATGATAGGTTTGACGTTTCCAAATAAATTTTTCATTATATTAGGTTGTCTCAAAAGTTTCTTTCCTTTTATTAATAATTAATGCATACACGATATTTTACGTTTTATGTTACATTACAAAATTGTGTACAATTCATTTCGCTCCATTACTGTTACAGCATCAATGTCTAAGAAATTAGATTGCCTATTTATATAAACACTGCCACAGAAAATAATTGAATGCAACTAACGAAAGAAACTTTTAGGACAACCTAATATAATGAAAAATCTATTGTATTTATGTATGTATTGTATGTATCTATTAAGATACATACGAGGACAAAATTTATTCATGTACATGTTTATAAGAAAAAAAAACATTAATTTAAAAACATCAAACCTATAATTTAATTTATACAAATGTCTTTAAAGTATGCTTTTCCTTTGTAAAGAAATGGTAATTTTAACTAAAAATAGCGCAGGATTAATTTCTACGCCTAATAGTATTTGAAAACTGTTTATAAAAAAAAAAACATTAATTTAAAAACATCAAACCTATAATTTAATTTATACAAATGTCTTTAAAGTATGCTTTTCCTTTGTAAAGAAATGGTAATTTTAACTAAAAATAGCGCAGAATTAATTTCTACGGTTAATAGTATTTGAAAACTGCGATATACTACGTCTAGAACTCGGCCACTTGAAGTCGACATAAATCCAGCATCACGGCATGTGACGCCAAGCGATCCCTGGACAGTCGAGAATCGTTCCATTAGGGATTCGTCGACGCTGTTCACTCGCGACGTGAATCGAGCTCATAAGTGTCTCCTTTGCGACTTTTGACCTTCTGCAACCTAACCGTTTCCCGTTTCTACGGCTGTCTTGAGACCGAGAGACGTGATGCCTGCCAAGCATGTATTCGAACGACTACGACGACGGCGCGCTTATGAATTCTTATATCGAATGGAGCAAAAGGTGGACGTCGTTTTTTATTTACTTCCTTTCGCGTTTCGTTTTTCGGTGGAACTTTACTTTGAGTCGCCCAAATTTATTGACTCCTTTATGGTTGAAAACCATTCTGGTTTCGTTTTTCACTTTTAAATGTAATCAACCGGAAGTGAGTAAATGATTGAAGACGACAGGCTTTGTGCTTGATTACACTACTCGCTGAGCTACGGGATTATGTTAGCGTTTGATTACATTGGTCGTTTAGCTATGAGATTAGTTTTGCGTTAATAATACATTAGTTTTGCCGTTTCTGTATTCTAGTAAGTCGGTTTTCAACCACTGTCGTTCAATCTATGATTGAGGACCTGTAAGTTTTTTTTACCGTTTTTTATACCTAGAATTCATAAATCTAAGTATTAGTGTTAAGAATCCAACGGTTTCAAAGTTATTCGTGTCTAAAGTTGAACACTTTTGGCGCAAATGGTATGGAACAAAAAGTCAATAATTTTCTATCGACCCAAAATAAAGTTGAACCCATTTCTCTCTCCCAAACCCATGAACACCTCCCATGAACTCCCCTCCTTTCCTTTTTTATCCTCGAGAGATGTTTGATTCTGTTTCAATTAAGTTCACAATTGTTATCCGGAATCAAATTTTTGCACCGCCATAAAATCGCAAGCTCCTCTTTTTATCCCGATCGAAATGAAAACAAAGGTCCAATCTCGAGAATTGTTTGCGCAGGTTGACTAGGCTCCACCAACGAACCCTGCGGATCTATCGAGAGAACGAATACATGCATCGCAACGTTGACGAAGGTCGGTGATCGAATTCGACTAATTTCACGGTAGTATCGTCGCGTAGTTAGGTTAAATTTCGTTCCGAGGGATCGGAGTTCGTTGGTATGAACGCGACACATCGGACGGTCGAGTGATCGCGCGGTTATTGGCGATAGCGAAAGATGAAACGGTACACCGTTCCCTAAATATTGTACCTACATCTCGGACTGACGTTTGAAGCGCAATTTACAACCCGCACGTGTCGTGTGGGACTGGCATTTTATCTAGATGGTTAATCACGATCGCGGTACACGTATTCCAATTATAATAAAACGGACGTAGTATTCGCTGTTCTTTAATTAGATCGAACAAGAAATTTGTTAATCAATTTTGTAATGAAATTAATAAGTCAATGAGGCTAATTCTTTGCTACGTGGTGTAATTAATAATATCGTTTGACAGTAAAGAAAATATAGATTAAAGAAAACCAAAAAGTAAGATTGAAATTCAAAATAGAGATACTAAACAAATAATTACAGAGTACAATTGCCTCGGGTGACTATTATTCTATCATCGGAAGAAGGACCTGCTCCAAGGAGTATTAAATTATTCCAAGTTTATTCTCGTCGAGGAAAAGATTAAATTATTCTGCAAATGACAAATGATAATTAACTGTCGCGATTGATCCTTTTTCCTCGTTCCATTCCATTATCCCGCTTGTCTTGGTTTCGACACTGTCTAACGAAATCAGTGCAAAGCGAAATCCTTTGGAGAGACATTCGCGGAATTCCAGCCGGCGCGGAGCCAGTTTATTTCTGTTAATAACAGACAATGTTGTAACTGTTTAATCTTCGAGCAGACAAACGATCTCGACAGAGAGCGAAGAGGTGAAGGCCGACGAGAAGTGCTGCGCGAAATGCAGCGGAGAGATTGCGGAAACGGACGACGACGGCACGTTTCCTCACATCCAGGACCTCTGTCCCGCCGACAGGAAAAGGATTGCCCAGCTGGTTAAGCAGCTGATTAAGTAAATACTCGCAACGCGAGCTTCCTAGTACTGTTACGTAGTATTTAATAATTTAGTCCTTTTTATGCCACGGCCTGTTTTCACCTTTATCATATTCCCCGTCATTGTTTAAATAACAAGCCTTGTTAATAATTAATTTAACTATTGTTAGAAATTAATATTTAGTTGGTCTAATCAATCGATGTTAAAATATTGACAAATCTCTCATTATTAATGACTCGAATGGATACTTATTCTGAACCGTAATTGTTATTAATGCTTAATCGAAAACTGAGTGATACCGTATGTATCACAAATGTTTTATTATATCGGAGATATTAAGTTTTAATTGTTTAAATATAGAAAAATACTTCACGATTACTTATGTAAATTTTATTCTCAACTTTTCATGTTCATTAAATATGTACATCTCCGAGTTAATTGAATATTTACAATGCATATAGTAACATTCAGTCTTCGATTAAATATTAATAAGAACCACAGTTGAAAATAAGTATTTATCGAACACAGTAATCGTGAGAAATTTTTCTATATCGTTATATCTATTAGCTGAAATAACTTAAAATTAATTTCTGGCCATAGTTACATCAATTATTAACAATGTTTGTTCAAGCAATGACTAAGAATATAACATCTAACAATAATCACAAATACTATTTAGCATTAAACATATATTTCAGAAGATTGTAGTGTCTTGTTAAATCTTGTTTATTCTTCTTTGGATATTTTTGTCCTAAATAAGATGAATTCTATTCCGTTATTCAGTTTAGTTCCACGTAACATATTTTTACATTTAATTGAATAAAGTGTCTTCAAAACTCGTCACAAATAGTTACAAATAAACTAGCTGCTAGGTTTACTGTTTTAATAGCGGATTTTAACAAAACTTGGGTTGAAATGCTTACAAAATGCTTGGCTTAGGGAGAGTCCTAATAAGAGAAGGTTCTCATTATAGAACTTAGGGTATCCGGATAATAGGAAATTCGAGTAACGGGGTTCGCATAATTAGGGTTCTACTCTGTGTCGAGTCTTCTCGCGAACAATAAACTTCGGACTCTTTGATTATCGTTTCAATCTCGATAGCCCAAGTTCCATAAACTCAAGGTTTCCAAAGGACAATTAACGACTCGAAAACAATGGGACAATCCTGGTCTCGCTAACCCTGGGAAACATTCCTGTTCTCCAGGTATCATCCCTCCCTTCCCTCAAATGCTTCGTCGAGGGTGTTAAGAAAGGGTGACTCGGAACATTCGGCATTCGATATTCGACGTTCAGTAAATCGTGCAGCACGACCGGTGCACAATCTTCCAATACTCCATCCATCGAAAGTAGAAGTTCGCGTAGATTCTAAATTTCACCAACAGCTAGAACTGACTCGAAATTATTGTTTCGTGGCTACACTAAGCAACCAATTCGATATTAATCCAACGCAACGTGTTAGTATTATTGAGTCGGTATTTGCGAAGAAGAATGCAAATCGAGAGATTCAGTCGCGAGTTGACAGTGATCACATTGAAGATCTTCCAATACTCTATCCGTCGATAGTAAAAGTTCGCGTAGATTCTAAATTTCACCAACAGCTAGGACTAACTCGAAATTATTGTTTCGTGGCTACACTAAGCAACCAATTCGAACCAATTCGATACTAATCCAACGCAACGTGTTAGTATTATTGACTCGGTATTTGCGAAGAAGAATGCAAATCGAGAGATTCAGTCGCGAGTTGACAGTGATCGCGTTGAAGATGACGTCTAATAAGACGACGGCTATATTGACGATGACTATAGTGACGACGACCACGATGACCATGATGGCCATCATGTCGATGACTGTGACGACGATGGCGATGATGGCGGCGATGGCGACGATGGCGGGAATGACGGTATCCATGGCGACTATGACGACAATGACGATTACTATGATGACCACCATGCTTGCGATAACTATGGTCGCCATGACGACTATAACGGCCACGACGTCTGTGAAGATTATCACTAGCAGAATTGTAAGTTCGACATTTTCGTTATGTCAGGGGGAGCGAAAAGTAATGTCATTCCTTTTAAATTAAATTCAAACAAATACTCGTAACAATTTTCTATTTTTAAGCAATTACAATGGGTGTAGAATGTATTCGTACACTGATCAATTTCCTAAAAAATGAAATTGCAATTTCTTAACTCCTTTTTTATAAACAATGACATTCTACATATTCTCGGAATTCTGTAGAATAGATAGATTAAAAAAAAAAAATAGCTATTTATGTAAGTTGCGAAATTAACAAGAAAAAAACAATTAATCGATAGAAATGTTGAAGCAATACACTGTCGCACAACTGTTTAAAAGTACTTTAACGTGTTTACGTTACAAACTTTACTGTAAATGGTTCGTCATAAGAATCGTATAAACACTTATTGTTTCTATACTTTTACCCACTTTTTGCATTTTTTTTTTTTTTTTTGTTAATTTCACAAATTATATCAACTAGTAAATGTTGTTCGGACTATATCTATCTTAGAGACTTTCGAGAATATGTAAAATGTCATTGATTATAAAAAAAGAAGTTAAGAAAGTACAATTTCACACAAAAGTTTTTTGGGAAATTGATCGGTGTACGAGTACATTCTACACTCGTTATCAATAGCCCATTGCTATCTAGTGTGCAAAATTTTCGATGCAAGATCGATAAGAATCAATGAGCTGATGAATGATAATTAAGTATTGAGATTCGCAGAAACGACATTACTTTCCAGTCTACCTAATAATTTCAATTCTTCGTTATTCCCATTACCACTGTTTCTGGTTTGCTCATATTGCTGATACCAGTCGACTGGCGCTAGTTATCATCGCCTAAAACCCAATTTAGGCCCCAATGGCTCGATTTCGATTAAGATAGGAGCAATCGCGCATACGGATTGGCCCACGTTTCGTCCTAATATCGCGTACGAAATTACCGGAATAAAAGTTGGTGCACCGGTCGAGAATCTTACGATTCACTCGAGGTATCAAATTAGACGTCATGCTCCCAGGCGTCGCGACGCGAATTGCGTATAATAAACCGTTTCCCGTGACTCGTAACTTTGTCTGGAACAGAAATTCCGTTCGGTAACTTTTCCTCGTGTCACGCGAGGAAAATGAATCCCAGCTGATCCACTATAGCAACGGAACATTATCTAGAGAAATTCTGCGGTGATTTATGTTGCGTTAGAATTACGAACAAAATATTTACGATTCGAAACGAACGAAAGTTATCGTGTCCAATAACTCTCTTCGTTTTTGTCTAGTTTAGTTTAATCTATCGAAACAAACGTGATTCGTTCGGTGGAAATCTGTATTTGTCTCGGTATTATTTCCAATAATAGACTGTGCTTCGAATTTGAAAGCATGCGCACGGTATCGATACAATTTTCTGGTTTTAACGCAGATGTACGAAGGAAATGAACGACGCAAAATCCGAACTAGCGGTCAGTGAGTCCGAGAAGGACGCCATGAAGAGCCAGTACCAAAAATCACTGGATCGTCGAGAAACGGAGAAGAAGCAGTTAGAGTTTCAAGTAACGCTGTAATTTAAAATAAAAATAACTGTAAGAATGATAATTCTATTTGTAGAACCATATTTTTGTAATAAGTGTAGCAAAGTATATTTTTTTTTTTAAATAGAAACGCATTTTTTCCATAGATTGAATCCTTCTCCCATCCATGACTTATGATGTTTCGAAATATTTTGCAATTTGCGTACCAAAAAATAGATTTCATCGTGTTCAACGATAAATGATTTATTATTCGACGGATTTTTGGATCAAGGAAAGCTGTAATTTAAAATAAATATAACTGTAAGAATGATAATTCTATCTGTAGGACCATATTTTTGTAATAAGTGTAACAAAGTATATTTTTTTTTTTAAATAGAAACGCATTTTTTTCCATAGATTGAATCCTTCTCCCATCCATCACTTACGACGTTTTGAAATATTTCGCAATTTTCGCCCAAAAATTGGTTTCGTCGCGATCAACGATAAATGATTTATTATTCGACGGATTTTGGTTTCGTTCCGACACTATTTGATAAACACTTGGATTCAACGAACGTTTAGAATTAACGAGCCTCTATATCCCTGAATAAATCTTCTAAATCCAAATTTATCTGTATGCTAATAATTCGTGTACGGACTAATTATTAATGTAATAATTTAACTAGAAACACGTTGTTTACGGTAATCGACGTACTTTTCGCGACGGGTGCACCCACGCAGGGAAATCAACTATTTCCTATCTCCTAAGGCTACACAGGTCCAACAGAATAACACCCTCGCTACCCAAATTAGTCAATTCCAGTACGAGACACCCACTTCCTGGTTAGAATCTACAACTGAGGAAATAGAATTGTTACGTTACGGGTGCTATCGTAATCCACAGGCAAAATTCGTCCAACGCGATTATACATACAGAATAAACCCAGCATTATCACGTTGGCTACCAGAACAATACTCTCGAAGCTTTTTACTGCGATTAAATTTTGTTTGAAGACCATTTGAGACTAGATAATAAAAACCAAGTGTTTATTTTTGTAACTTCATGAATATTTATCAGGTGAACTCGAAAGTAACGTCGTTTTTAAATACTTGTTTATCGCTCAACTCGTTGATTTTTATCGATCTGGCATCGAAAATTTGCACAATAGATGACAAAAGGCTGTTGATAACGATGGCGATTGCATAACTGATTAAAAATAGAAATTCATTAAAAATCTATTTGAATTTAATGTAAAAGTAACGACATTAATTTCCAGTCTACCTAATAAATAAAGTTAAATTCGATTCAAAATTAAATAAATGTCTTTTTAATACAAAAAGGGTCATTATACGCGCTCATCCTAATTTTGGACAACATCCATTTGAAAAAAAGAAAACAGTGCAGTGTCTAATTTCTTTGTAACGTCTCGATTCGTGTTCCTACCAGCTGCAGGAAGCCCGAGCCGAGTCCAGCGAGCTGAAGACTCGAATTTCAGGAATCCTGGAGATCCTGACGCGACAGATAGCCGCTCAAGAAAAACAATTTCTCCAGCTCACGGAGACCGTTAGGGACCTAGTGCGAGAAAAGTCGCGGCTACAGAATGCCCTGGAACGGAAACAAACAGAATCTGACACTCTCGAGGGTAAACTACAAAGGACTAAAGAACTGCTCGAGACGGAGAGGCTGCAACGTTGCAAGAACCTCGAGGAAAATGTACATAAGGCTTGTCAAACCGAAGACATTGACATAACAGAGTAAGAAAACATTGTTAATTAAGTATATGATAAGAATGCACGAGATTTTCCATTTTTCTGTCTGCTAAATCAATTAAAAGTGCAGTTGAACTCGCTTCCCACAGCTACACGAACTGCTGCTTAAGTATAAAAAGTACAGTTCTAGACAGAAAATGTAGAAAGTAAAATTATGGAAATATTCTTTAAACATTTGTGCATCCATGGGTGTGCGTAGAATTTAAAAATACTGCGTTGTTTATTATAAATTAAATAAAAACATTCTTTCGAATTAAAGGCCATCTAGCGGTGAATAGGCCGAACTAACGTTCGGAGTATGGTCAGCGCCTCTCTCGGGAAAACGCTCAAGTTTGTCCTCAATAGTTCCTTTTTTCGCCGCTAGATGGCGCTTTCTGGTGGTAATTTACCGACAGCTATCGGTACGTTACCATCGTGTCGGTAAATTACCACGAAGAAGCGCCATCTAGCGGTGAAAAAAGGAACTATTGAGGACAAACTTGAGCGTTTTCCCGAGAGAGGCGCTGACCATACTCCGAAAATTAGTTCGGCCTATTCACCGTTAGGTGGCTTCTAATTCAAAAGAATCTTTCTTATTTAATTTATAATAAATAACGCAATTTTTTTAAATATTACATGCACGTACGAATACACAAATGCCTAAAGAATATTTCCCTTAATTTACTTTATATACTTTCATCATAAAATATTAATTATTATATGTAACTGTAACTTGTATATCTTCTTCGTACAAATTTTAAACAGTTTTTGTTTTTATTTAAACGTATTTAATATCCCCATACGCTTTACCTTTATATTAAAATATTTTGATATTAATATTTATTTACTAAATAATCATAGTAATTTCGTACAATTTCGTACGATTGCGTTGGACTGATAACTTTTTGCCACCACGACTTACTTCCTCTCCTTCGATTAATCCCTAATTGCTAGGCAATTAAACAGATATTAAACTTTCGAGTTTAGAAGGATTTCCCTTGCCAAAGTTAGTAATCGTTCAACGAATCATTCGGGACAGCTGACACGTCCGTGCAATCAGTAACAGAAATCGCTAATTACTCCTATGACACGTACTTTCAACAATTAATGAAACGAAAACGATTTTCGTCCTTCTTGATTTTCATCTTACTATAAGTCCATTTAAAGTTAGACAAATTGCTACTATTACATTTGAATTACATGTTTATTTTAAAGTCAGTACAATATTAAAATCATCTTATAAAAAATGATAGTAAAGAAAGAAATATTTTGGCAATTTTGAACACGCATAAACTTTCTTATAAACTTCACGTTTCAATTGAAAACGTAAATTGGTATATTAAGTAAAAGTTATTGATAGTATTGCAAACTACATTCTTTCATTAATATTCCACAAAATAAACATTCCATTTTTGACAGAAGGATCTTCCAAGAGGAAGTCGATAAAGAGTCTATCTCGTCCCGCCCACCGAATGCACGCATCAAGAGTAAACACGATCTAGAGGAGTCATCCACCGATGGAACATTACTGAGAGAGTTGTTTTTCAGGAAACCAAGCATCGAGGAAAGCGGAACCTTGGACATCATCCCAGTTCTATCGGAATCAAGTCTGCAAATAAGACCTTCGAACTCTGTATTCTTCGTTTGACGAGTCACAAATATATCAGACGTTATTCGTACAAGAAAAATCTTCCTCTTTTTTAAGAAAAACTACAAATACTCGCTTTGAAGGATAATTATTATTATTTATTATTATTAAGCACAATATTTATAAAACATAGTTTTATATTTAGAAGATAGATGAATTATTCTAATGCAATGTACAGTGATGTCTGTTAAGTTGTTGTACAATTAAGATGCGAGGCCTGCAACTTAAAAGATAAACCAATATTAATGTTATAATGATACAATAATGATACAGTCAAGAACATAGAAAGTTCTCTTTTCTCTTTCACTTAAATTTTAGCTTTGTTATTTTTCGTCCCTATAAAAACTATCAACTAAACAGACATCCCTGAACATACATACTTATCTTTAAGTTCGTATCAGCCAGGTACTGCGTGAAAATACATATACATAATAAAACTCTTTATAATACACAGGTTATTTCGTTACATGTAGGATCCACCAGTAATAGTTGGAGGATGTAGAGATGATTTTAAAAGTTCATATGAAAACTTGTCCTATTTTACTTCGTTCGGTAAATACTAATCAACTTGCGTTCGAAACAAAGGTAATTATTTCGAGCACGTTATACGAAGCAGCTGCGCGTTACAGATGTGCAAACAAGGTAAAATAATGGCATGTTTTGTATGAATTCGTTTCAAAATGGAATGTAAAAATCGAACCATACATTAGGACCAAAGATTTGAACGAGATGAAATAATTACAAATTCATTCAAAGGTTTTTCTACATAAATTATACTTATATCGCTATAAGTTTTGATATTTTTTTATAAATGCTGTAAACTTTATAAATACATACATAGAAGATTAGAAATTGAAATACGAATCTCCACGATACATTGAAGAGAAATCATAATTATGCCAGCATAATCTTTAAAAGCTAACTTTACCCCGGATCTTAAAAAAGCCTAATGCATTTCTGTTGTGTACTAAGGCACCTAAGCCAAAGTAATTCTCTATGATAATAGATCCAGTTCTTATGGCACATTCTGGCGACAATAAACTTATAATTGTCGCATGTAAGCCATCAACGTCAAATTTTGCTTTATCCGCTTCCGAACCTAGGAAAAAGCTTTTGGTAATCATACAATTACCAGACATGAAAAATAAGTTTACCTTTGTACCAATACAATGGATGACTAGTATACGTGAGCCATGGAATGTTTTTTGCAAATGGATTCCATTTCTTGGTCAGCGGCAATGGAGTACCGCGATTCCACATCAATCTTATCCCAGATATGTATCTTTTCCTAATAATTAATTTCAATTCAATAAGGGATAAGTGTAAGTTATAAAATCTTGTTGAACACCATATACCAAAGAAATTAAAATTGTTAAAAATATGTTATGCTACCCACTGAAGCAATAATCTGTAAGCATAAGACTACAACTTCACATTTTTTGAAAAACTTTAAATGTGCAGAGGTTGAAAATCAAAACAAAATTTTTAGGATGCTTTATATTTGTTATACAATGCTAAGATAAGGCAACTAAAAGGTGCAAAGCAGTTTTGTTTTAAATTAAGAAGGGTACCAACTCTACTTAAGAGTTTAATGTACCTAGATTCAAATTGTGCAAGACCGGTACAAGAAGTAAGAGAAGACCACTCTTGACGAACTGCACAATTAAATATTGATGACACACCCTCTGCCAATCCACTTAATCTTCTAAAAATTGTCAAGTGTATTTGTTTATAAATAAATACAGTTTGTAAGACTACATTTTATAGTTCTTGTTCCATCTGATCAATGGCTATTTTGCCACCTATAATTAATTCTGGTATATTATCTTCAAGCTAATTATAATACTTACGGAGCTAAAGATGTAGATGGATAGACTAGTTCACCAGAAACCAGTGTATCAATTTCTGATAAAGGTACTCGATTATACTCAAGTATTTTTAAGGAAATAAAATCATATTTTACAGAGTAAAGAGCTTTTTTGGTAAGCACTATAAGTCTTTCCTTCTCAACATCCCATAAGCTTATTCTACAAATATTATTTTGAAACTTCATTGCAACATTGTACAGCAACTTACTAAAACTTCTATATATAAAGATGATTCCTCACTCTGTCAAGAGCCAGCTCCCAACTACATCCTTCTCTTCTTCATTTATCAAACTATCTTGGCAATCTTTTAGAGCTCTTTCCACAACTTCATTTCTATCCGTGAAGAAGGAATGTATATCGATATGTTTGAAAGGAATATTGCAAACATTCTTTGATGTTGGAATTTGATTCGCAGCATTGACTTCATTCTCTGTATTCCTTCTTGCGGTATTGATTCCTTACAAGTTATAATAAGTATGTATAAATAACATTGGTACATGATATTGTATTCAATGCATATGTACACTTAGAACCAAGATGAACAATAAACTTACCGTCGGTCACAGAAGTCGCGCTATTGGGATCATTGCCGTCATGATCTTTGGTGATCTCTAACGTTGCCGTTTCAAAATTTCCCGCTGGGCCCTCGTCAAAATATGTTTCGTCCATCGTTTGAGGTTATCGTATTCTCGTGTCTTAAGAAATCCAATTATACGACGTTCCGCATAAATTATTTCACGTAAGCGTCACAGCCAATATATTCATCTAAGAGCTTATTTCTGTCGCTCAGAATTAGGCTCACTTATTCGACTAATTCCAATCGAGAGTTGACGTTTCAAGTGATAGTGAAAGACGCCATGCTTTTAGAATCAAAATTTGCTACTGATAACACGTTATCGACTGATATAGCTTATACGTTCCTTCGCCTTGATCCCAAAGCAGGATAATTATGTAGATTGCATCGCATATAATACTGTATTAAAATTCAATAACAAGTGGAAAGATAAGGTATCGAACAAAAATAGAAGGATTCTTTATTAAATTATATCGACAGCGTGAAAATTTCGGGATGTAACAAATCTAGATAAATTGTATACAGTAGATTATACACGTCATCAACACTTTTGATACTTATTATTAGTTTATACACAGTGTTATTCACCAGACTCCGTAAATTCGTACTGTAATGTAAATATACATACTGTGTTTAAGCTGTACAAAGCCTTCAGCCTTACAAAAATTATTTAAATAGGGCTGATATTGCTGGTCTTACAGTATCTGTACAAGTTTTAAGTTAATATCTCCGCACCCACGACTGTTACAAGAAAAATGTACACTTAACGTTAACTTCTACGTTTAATATCATAAAAAATACAGTTTATCCAAGTCGAAGTAATTCGCAAAATATCAAACTCGTTAATAGAAAATTAATACCGTTCTCTACTCTATGTGAAAATTTTGGTTTTTGCGATTTCTCTTTACGCGGTATAGCTTTAAGTAGATTACATTCCCGTAAATAAATATCTTATTCGCCTATATTTTACACGTTATACACATATATATACATTTAATACAATATTAAAAAATCTCTCACGCATTACGGGAGACCTTCTCTTTTATCTCAATACCAGTATCAAAAGTATACGTGCGCTAGCTGTGCGACAACCAAATGTTCTCACGTTTTCTACGAATTGTATTAACGAACTGATACATTTCGTTAAGTTCCAAGTATTGATGGTGCCTTGCATCAGTCTTATCGTCAACTTAATTTAAGCGTAGTAAGGCATCCTCATGTGCACTGTTAAAAAAATAAACAAAGAGAAACGTAGAGAAATCAAAGAACTGACTAGCATACAACCTATACGTGATAAATAAAACCGAAAGTATAAAATATCAGTGCGCGGTGATCTGCAACTACTTGTAGTATTGAACGTCATCCACCATGTTATCCGACGAAGAAAGAGTCAAACTGTGTTCCTCGTGCATCCCCTTGGCGTAATTGATTTGTTGCGAAACCTGAAAAATAACAAACAATCAGAATTATCACTATGATATGATAGACTTCGGTTCGTCAGCTTATACGTACTCGTTTGGCCACTTCCTCGTTTTCGCATCGGACCTTCGGTCTCCTCAGAAGTTCAGGACCGTCGACGCTTACGTTCACTGCTGAATCTGATCTGGATATTAATTCTATATAATACAATGTTGCGCTGTTATTTTCAAGTTTATGCGTCGGTTGGCAATACAGCAGGTCTGCTAAGCTGACTTCGGTCACGACTCCTTTGGTTCCGCCAGAAATAACGCGTACCCTCTCGTTGGACACCAGCACCCTTAGATTCTCTGTACCACTCCGTAGACATTCGTACGCTACAAACAGTTCCGAGTAGTCATGATTGTTCACGGTATAGAGGAACTCTTGACCCTCTGCTTGTTGGCGGTTGTATGGCGGTAATAAGCCAGCGGGACCGCTCGCCACGCGAGGAGGCCTATCCCGCTTTGGTATCGTTCGATGAGCACTAAAACATGGTAAATAAACCTTAAGTACCATTGTTTTGAATTGAATTTATATCCTTGTACAAGTGTGTACCTTCTACTTGTTTCTCGTACAGCAGTGGCAGTTTCCGTGGCAAGATCTAAAACTCCTACAACCGGTTTGGTGATCGTCCCAACCACTCCTTTGCCGAAACCCGCAAAGAAACCCTGTAATTATTAGCCGATAGTATTATTAGTATTTACGCATGTATAAGCGTAGTTACGTACTGGAAATCCTTCGTTCGCAGCACCGTCGTATGTCTGCTTGAAGATGCTTGTAACACCGCCCAGTAAACCAAAACCAAAACCCTTCAAACCAGCTACTAAGTGGTCGCTGCTACCTGCGGTGTTGGCTCGTATTCTTTGTCTAGCTTCCTCGTGTCTTTCATCCATTATAACTCGTCCTATTCCATCTGACAGGGACTCTGTCACTTTAGCAGCCGAATTCGAGATACCATGCGTGACATTCTTCACTAACGTTTTAACGCTTCCTTCGTAGATTAAACCGGAAACCCCCTCGGTGACATCGTTCACGAACCCAAGGGGATTACCCAGAAAATCTACAGACCCTAGTATTACCGCGGCTTGCCACTTCAGTTCGTCTTTGTAATGTTTTATTATGGAATGTACTAAAAACTGAGTACTTTCGAATGGATGTTTTTTGAGGAAAGGGTCCAATTCGATCGTGGCGTCTTCGAATTTAATCAAGGTTAACCCTAATTGTCTCTTTATCGCTTGAAGATGTCGAGGCAGCTTCATAGTGGTGAGCACGCTCAATTTTATCTGACTAGGGACAATTTTTAAAGCGCCAAAGTAGTATCGTTTCGCGTGTGCTGCAGACACTTCGGAAATAAATCGTTGAGCCTTAAAATCGTTCTCGTCTACTGGCACCTCCAATTCCGATCTTCCTGCTCCGACGAACGCGGCCAATTTCAAGATCAGCTTTTCTTCCAGATGTATACAAAGTGGCTTTATGCTCACGATCACGTGTTTATATATCTCTGCATTCTGATTTTTAGACTTCAGCTTTTCAGCGACCACGTGTATCGACGGTCTGGGTTCACTTTCCGTACGCGTAGATCGAGTTACATACAAGACAGACGTGCATTGTGCTTCGAACAACTGATTGTCAATTTGTATGTCTTCTATGCTTAAGTCTAGGGTGGTATTGGCAGGGGTTTGTACAAGTTCTAACGAAATACCAGCCAATCGGGCAAACAGCAACTCCTCGACAGGTCTTCGAGACACGATTGATAATCCGAGACCAGCTGTTAAATTAACTCTCAGTTCTAATTCACGGGAATTTAGGTTCTCAGCATCTGTATTTATTTGTGTTGGCCGGTGACTGACGGCAATGTGTGACCAATCGCGTTCTTCCAGCAAAGCGAAGGTTTTTTTCTGCAAAGAACGATTGGTCATTGGAGCGCAGCTTCGACACTTCTCTTACGATATTTTGAAAAAGCATATATACCCGTTCTTTGATATCCAATACTTGTAACACTCGAGTTGGGCCATCAGTTGTTACTCTGACAGACAAGAAACCAGATCCCGGTCGCAACTTTTGTCTTCCTACGCGTTGTTCGATCGGTGGAGGACTGCTGTGAATTTGGGGACCCAATACCGCTTCGCTCCCTAAAAAATATAATTACAAAGTCTGTGCATAAAGCGCACGTTGATAAGGATTAAGTGGCTGCATAAACGACTCGAAGTTAAGATACATATGTTATGTATGTAGAATCTTTTGTTTCATGCATCGTTCAAAGACATCAGAATGACACAGAGTAAATGTTCCAGTAACTGTCGATGTCCCCGTAACTGGCACTTTGTTTATTTTACTTGACAGAGAAATAAATTTTTTTTTAGGTTAAAATAATTAACGGTAGCAGCAATGAGGACATCTGTTACGATCATTTACTAAGACATGTCTTTGAACAATTTAATGCTCATAGCGCTAATTAAGAAAAAAAAACAAGCGAAAGTGTGCATAATACTTATACGTAAATTTATAAGCAACGGACGAAATTAGTGTACTCCGAATCTATACGTACACATTTGCCAACGGGCGACACTGCCGCCTGCAACATTCATTATCAATTTAAGCTTCACGAGTCATTATTAGAACAATATACTTTCGGAAGAAAAACGGGGTCGAAAACCATAAACTTCAAATCAATCAAACAGGAATACACAAACAACGTTACAGAAGTTTTTCAATTGGTTTGTATCTTCACTTTTACAGCCACTTTATTTGGTGAAGCGAACCTTTGAAGTTTCTTATTCAACTGATGAATTAAATAAAATAAAAGAAATAATTTGCGTGGCACTAGTGATCCTCACAAGAGAAACTTACGATCAGAATGAGCTATTCTTCCGCCCAAAAGACGCTCATCCGGATCATAAGGTTCTCTCGTCAGTAAAAGCTTTGATAACTGAATAAAATAGCAATGGATACAATGGAGAACTAACAAATACACGTGTCAAAATAAAGGGTGAAAATAGGCTTCGCCAATGAATTATTCCAAATACATTTAATATCGTCGTGTCAAACCTTCGTGTAACCCCATGAATCCATCTTTTGACTGAACGCACATATTTTTATGCGCGCAGCACAATCGACCATCATCGGTAAACCGCCAGGTTTGTGTCGATCTTCTTCTAGGATCAGGTTTCCTTAACGCAAGCGCGCAATATGTAAACGGTTGAGGCGCAGTACCAGCGATGTCTAGAACCAACACCATTTCCGGGGTTTTCGAATGCTTATCTCTCGGTGGACTGGAACCTAATTTGTGAAAGCAATCTCTTAAGAACGATTTAAAAACAACAGACAGAGTCAACGATGCAAATTCTGTTACTGCACACCTTCGTGTTGCAACTGACCGTCACCGGTCATCCTCCACAACTGGGATCTGGCCCCGTATTGCTTTCTTCGCAAAGCAACCCAACCACCAGGACCAGCTTCTAAGACCAATCTTTGCGTCTCGACGTCTAGGGGATCTAGACCACCCTCTCCTGTCCCCAGATCACAGTCAGTTTTAAATGTTCCTGGATTCAACAACCACGTTACTTATAACAATTGATTTTCGTGGCAAATATCATCAGCATTAAAAACACTAAGTAGGAATTACCCGTGAAGGCGATGTAAATAAAGTTCTCATAAGTCAGACCTCTGCTCTCTCCGAGTATATTCAAATCGTACGTAGCTGTTACACCTCCAGGTGCTGTTAACACTAAACCAGCAGACTGTATTGGTTCATCCAGCGCATATGGTACCGATGAATGAGGTCTCACGGTCCATTGTAAATTGTCGTGTACGGTGACCTATAAAAATAGTCTTGAAAATGATTCCTAATTAATTTGGTTAAATGGTTTAGTGAATTAAAACGGATAATAAAGTTGTTAGCGTGTAGCTACTTGAATAAACTGAAAAAAGTTATATAATAAATGTTAAGACAATGAAAGCGTGTTCTCTATCGAAGTTCAACGAATAATTACCTGATTAACCACTAGAGCAACTTCTGAGAAATTATCAACTCTTATAGGCGGTGGCATAGTGTCTGCATCTGTAAACACTATAAAGTACGTGCTTTCTTGTAAAACCACGTCTACTCGAAGAAAATGCATTCTCCCTGCCGCATCCCTAATGTTAATGGTCAGCGAATAGTTATCGTCTAGTTTGATACCACCTGACCACATGCAATCTTTGACATCCATGATACGGACGCACAACAGTAAATCTTTATCAAGACGTGGCCAATGAAACGGCATGTGACAGTCTGGCATTGTTCTAATGTACGTTGCCTGAGCATCTGGGTGACTCTGAAAGGAACAAAGCATAATGATTATTCTCATGCATAATAAACAATTATATAGAATTGTAGGTTGTACTAACAATTGTTGTGGTGAAACATTTTTGTGCCAACTCTAGCGTACAACTCGACTTATTATGCAATTGATATCTAGGGGACAATGTAACTACAGTCGTAGCTCTATATTTTCCTCTCGCTGTCCGAGTAGCCACACTGATCAGATACACTATATCAGGTCGACCATCACGCAAAGATATTCTAAGACGGTGTACCTAGAAATATTTAAAATTAATTCGTTCGAAATATGTCATTTATCTATAGCATGAAGAGCTATTTATGACTTACATACCTGTATTCCAGGCTGTAAGTAAAAGTGCTGGGACCACTGTGGTACTCCCTGAGGATGCACCGCAGTGCCAACCCTAACCGATAAAGTTCTGCTTGCTTCTTCATCGCTGAAAGAGAACAATAATGGTGCTACCATTCTAGCCTTTTCATGTTCCTCGAACTGTCCAGCTGCTTCAACTCCGACACCCTCTTGCCGAAATACCAGAGGTAAACCTGTTTTGTTTATAATCCAATACGGCGCAGTAATGTTAATTTGAGTGGCGGAACCTTTTTCTATATTAACAGCTGCATGTAGAAACAATATCCTCCCAGAGGAATCCGCCAGTCGAAGACGAGCAGTGAAAGAACTTGTGTTTGGTGGCAATAACATCTATGGAAAACATGCTTATTTTAAGTATCGCCAAGATATTAACGAAATTAAAACGTGAAAGGAAGAAAATTTATTCACCGATCCTGGTCCGGAATAACCATCTAGTTGTATCGTAATCTCTAATTGCTCTTCGATATCTACCGTGTGCAAGTCGGCGCTACCACCAGGTAGAATACGACCACTTTCTGTACCTACTTCGAAGAGCAATTCATGTGGCAATAAATTGGTTAAAGTGAGCGGAGCCATCACGGTTATCGTGTGCGCTGGGAGCATTACACTCGTATCCAATGGATAATTGTCTCGCATCACTGCTACGCACATTCTACAACGATATAACGATATATCAATTCATCGAATTATTCTACTTCAACAGCATGGAGACCTACCTAAATATATTATTGTGATTAGCTCTACACGTAATACGATTTTCTATGACTTCCAGCGGTTTCTTCACCACTGTCCAATCTATCGTTTCTGTACAATATTGGAATATATTATTTAAATGTATAGGTTTCAGACACATTTGCACACCGGTATGCGTTAAAGGTACCGATATAGTGGACTGTGCAGGTACTTGCAGAATTCTATCGCTAACAGACAGAGTCAGAGGTAGATCTAAAAGAAGAGAACGTTCAAATATTCATGTCGTTTGGTTTGTATCGTATAATCAAGGAGACCTACATTCGAAGTGATTTAAAGACTTCTCCATTTTAATCTCCACCATGTGTCTTAATTTGTTCGATATTTGTAAAGCTGATCTAACAGTTACTAATTTTCTAGCTGATCCCTCTAATTCGACTGCAAATACTATTCTAGCCTTTGCTGTTAACATCTGAAACTGTAATCAATCGTTTTTAGGTGCAACAATGATTAATATGCGAAAGTATAATTTATTTACCAATCGTTCATTCGTCTGTGAACCAGTTATATTTCCATTTACATGTCGAAAGTATATCCCAACGCGATCTACTGTAACAGGGTCTACTGCTCTCCAGCCATCCACAAGTACTGTGATCTGATGTCTTCGGACTGTATGCGTGGCGTGGTGCCTCAATTTTCCTCTCCCTTCAAAGGTGAAGGGAACAGTGTCGCCCGAAGTGACTTCAATCCACGTATCATCCTTTTGAAAATCGTTTTTCGCTTTGAAATTGTGTCCAACATCCTTAGTATCATCCGCGGTAGCGATGATAGTTTTGAACCACAATTTACATCCCGTTTCATTTTTCAATGCAAACGGAATGAAAGGTAGTCTACGTCGGTACGCCTGTCCATTTCCCGATGGTTTGTTCACGTTCATATCTTTAATGGAAGTCAAGTAGAAATCTTGCATCCAGTTATTCTTGACTAACTCTATCAGTTCTATCAACGTTGAAGTGACGTTAACGTCAACGGAATCCTGAGAATCTACAGACACCTGCAGTCTCTGCGAATTAAGGGAGTTCATCAACGTCTGTTCCCATTGAATGGTAGCACGCCAAGGTTCGATGAAAGGTTCCCAGCCACTGAGAACTCTGTTATAGTAATCGATGCTGAAAGTAGAAGACAGAAGACCCGGTCCTACGCAATCCTGTCTTAAACTGAAATCTAACAATGAGATTTCCAGCAATGGCACGTCGGCATCTCTACAATCGTCTATGATACATATCCTTGCACAGGAAGTTTGTAAATCAACAGTATGGAAAATAGACTCGTTCTTCGTATTAACGTCAGAATTAGGTACCGCGTTTTGCGTCAACCACAAGGCCGCTTCGTCCAATTGGCCATTGCAGAGTTGCAACGCTGCCCTGCAATCGGACTCCATGAACCCAAGGGCTGTTAACTTTTGTACTTGTATTTCGAGAGAGGTCAACGCTTCGTTCGAGCGTTGCTTCGCTACCAAAGTCTGTTTCGGAAGTGAGCTGAGCATCCTGGAAAACATCGTCACGTCGTGATAGCTCAATCTCACGCACAACGGCTGTAGTTGTACTTCGAGACACTTCTCCTGTGTTAGGTCTAAGCTAGCCCCTACAGGGTCGATTATAGAGAGAGCAGTCTCTTCCTCTAATCCTAGGATGCAGGAGAACAATTCGCAATGAGACAAATTACAGGAGAGAGGTTTCTCTCCTTCTTGAGGGGCAGATCTGTACGAAAGAACGGCTGTACTCTTTAGAATCACAGCATTCGTATCACGGACCGACGTGTCTTCTACAATCACCAATTCTGAATCAGTGATATTGATCTTTAATTCGAGCGGTATAGTAGCTGGAGCATTGTTCTCATTTTCTTGATTACTTTCCATAGAATAGGTAACTATTCCAAGAATAGGTTCCGGCTCTGGAGAATTTAATATTAAGAAGTCTCGTACAGCTTCCCACCAGTCCAGTATAGCAGTCAAACGCATACTGTGCACGAGAATAGTTGTTGCCGCGTTCACCTTGCGTCTCCTGTGATGTACCTCGGCCTGTACGCGATTCTCGTTGTTGGAATTCCTCAAAGGCTGCAAAATACTTGTGAAAACGTTCGACTGGCTACTAGCGGGCTCATCCTGAAACCGCATGTCCGTGATCAATATCTCTTGAGACACTAGATCTATATCCTGCGAGCCATCGCTCAATGAATCCAGAGTCAGCCTAGATTTGATGAAATTGATACACGCTAGAGCCGCGATATTATGATTCGGATGTAACTTAACGGTGACGTTGACCAACTCGAGAGTTATGCATGATTTCTTCCAAATCGTTTCTCGATTATCTACATTAACCATGGAGTACTCAACGGTTTGATTCAAATCTTGCATGAACAGCCGTAAGTCGTCCAAATTTTCTCCGATATTGTAAGAGAGAAGACCTCGAATTAGCATGTATTGAGCGGGATCTAAAGCGCAATCCATCGTTGACAGTGTCCCGTGTATACTCAAGTCAGGAATTTCTCTGCTGATATAGGTGTCCAAATTTCTTTCAATGCGTAGCTTCAAGTGACACATCTCCGTGAGTAAAGATGATCCAAGTCTCTTGATAAGAAAGCCACCAACGACCAGAGTGTCTATATTTTCGCTCTGATCGTCGCAGTTGACTCTCTTGGCTGCATAAACATCCATGTTGACCAATTCGAGAAACATTATATCTAGCAGACATTTGTCCATCACTTCGGAAATTGCAAATTGGTTGTGAGCGGTCAGTTCTCCCAAGTCCAACAGTATCAATTCATCAGACCTCGAACTAACTGGCAATAAAATCACAGGCGCGCCCGCGTGAAGTTCCAATGATAACCTCATGCTTCGTTTATTGGTATCTATAATAGCTCCAACACCAGCCTTCAAATTCGCCATGATGGTCCACAATTGTGAAAAGTGACAAAAAAATGCCTGAAGTTCCGCTACGAATCTCTGAGTATGTACATAATGGACTGCGGACATTTCTAATTTTAATTGAGCGTCATAAGGTCGTTTCTCGGTGTCTATATAACTTGAATACTGAAAGTTCAGAGCTTTCCTTCCCGAGGATAGAAACCTCTCCCTGTAAAACCTCCCGTGCGGCGTCAGATCTAGCAAGGACATGGATCCCAACGACCCTGATACTTTCGTCTTTCCATTCGCCTTTAAAATATGCATATTGGCATTGGACACGTTGGCTTTCGCAATTTCTCTCTCGGACTGTATTAGCACCAATGTCAACGATCTAACTTCTATTTCTGTTTCCGATCGCAAAGGCAGATTGTCCGCCTTGTCTAGTTGATCCACATCGATGGACGTTTGATGGGTGGCAAGTTTAGGATTGGCTCTCGACGGTCCTGCGAATCCGAAGAAATCGAAAACCACCATCCAAGACTCTACGCTTATTACCAAATCCAAGCAGTTGAAATCGACGGTAACGCTTTTCTGATGAAACTGGTCCTTTGTTGGCTGATCAGGATCTGGTTCGGTTATCGTGATGCTCATTAGCACTAGATTTTCTTCGCTCGTAGACGCACCAGGTGACGGAGGTGGAGTATTCGGTGTGTCCACTAATGAAACTGGTTTCCGACGCCAATGAGCAGGAATTGTACCGTACAACGTGTCGGTCTCTAATCTGTCAGGCAAACTTCCACGTCCAAACTCGCTTCTGAACTGCTGCACGAATGCAAAGTCTGGACAGGACTTCGAAACGCCAGCAGGAAGCTTTGCGCGCGTCGGTGCTGATGATTGCATCATGCATCGATGTCGCGTACCAATAGGACATAACAAATCTTCCATCAGCAGAGAACGCAAGGCAACCTGAATGGTGGATTCATTTCTTTGCAACTTCTCGTACTTAGCAACGAAATCTCTCATAGACAATTCGACTAACGGTTGTTCTAGGAGGCCTTGTTTTAATTCTACGCTCAGCGTGGGCAATTCGAATAAAACCTTAATGGAAAGATCAAGCTTATCGGAGTAAGTCGGTACCTTGTTCATCACTTGTGACTTCTGGACAACTGGTACCGCTACAGGCATTGAAAACAATCTATTTATCGTATCCAACAGTTGTTCGTACTGTCCTCGAGACAAAGATACTTTCAGAGGCGTCATCACGACTCCGTGAACCTGAACGATTGGATTATTCGAGAACTCGTCGATGAAATAACTGGGACTTTGCGCCAACGCGTTTTCTTTTTCAACTACAATTTTTAAGACGGTATCGTGTAGAATTGGTTTACCCGACTCTTTACAAGAATACATCTCTTCTGCTCTTAAAGGTAAATTGCTGTGACCCTGGCTATGGGGATTAGCAGATATTTCAAGAGAATACAAATTCATATCTCGAACTTCCAACGTCAACTTATGCTTTACCATGGACCCAAGATTAGGCTCGTGTTGCAAGAACATCGTACCCAGATGAGCAACAAATACTTGACGACTATGGGATGATCGGGGTATCACCAATACAGGACTATCGAGAAGTATGTCCAACTTCAAAGATAAGGTACTTGGATTCTCTAAGTCTACAGATAGGCTTGGTAAACGTCTACGCGGTGGTATTGTCCAATCTTCCGCATTAACTAAGCCAATAGCCATATCCGTGGCCGCAGCGCTAATCTGGCGAGCAAGATTCTTCAAATACTGTTTAAATTCATCAGCACACGAACGTAGTTCGGAGAGCAAATGAGGAGCATGTGTATACCATACGCTGCCTATACGTATCGTTAGATCTATCAACGTCTCCGTTCCGTCCTGCTGTTGCGCGCTGGATTTGGTACAGCGATTCGCTGAGAATCGGAGTGCCTCTGGCTGGTTGGATAGACTAGTAAAATGTTCCAGTTGTTGTTGAGGTGGATCTGCGATAGGGTCTCTTCCAACGCTGATAATTCGTTGATGCGTTTTGCCAGTTGATGTTTGATCCAATACTTGGAGACCTCCGAGCGATCCAGAAATCGAAGTGTGTACTGCTAAAGTTGCTTGTATACGAGCATCGCACATTGTAGCAGTGGCAATCTTTTGACCTACCAAATGATTATCATGCATTACCGCCCGCAAAAGTAAAACGTTCAATCTATGAAAATCGAAAGTTATTTCCGTCCTGGTCGAAACTTTTGGCTCTACGGTCATATTCGAAAGCGATTCCTGTCTTTCTATGTTTTTCCTCAGTTTTCGAGATGGAAATATTCGCCTATAGAATCCCATCAGTTCTACTATTGTTTCTTGATTGGCGATAATGTCCAAATTGTTGAACTGTATGTTGGCAACTCTCAAATTTTCCAAATTATCGTATACCAATGTTAACTCGACAACGATTAAAGCTTCAGAGTCCATCTTGTCCAGTTCGATGAATGAATTATTTCTTGGAGACTGAGGATTCTTGGTTTTACTTGCCAAGGTAGATAAAGCATTATTCAAAGCGACAGGAGAAGTTAGTCTCTTCGATAGCGTAGGATCAGGAGATCCCGGAGACTCTGGTGAGACAGGTGACGTCGGTTCCGAGTCTCTTAAACTACCAGAAATACTATCCATTCCAACATGTTTGTGACTGGCTACTAATAACTCAAAGTCAGGACCAAATTCTTGAAGAGCGTCGACGAGAAGTAACCCATGCACCGACAAGGAAACATTGACATCGGCTGTCCTTCTACTAAAGGCAGCTCTAACTCCAGAAACTTGAAGCTCTGCCACACTGCGACCTCTAGATTGCAATTCGAAGGTCATTTGATCGATAATGAATTGAACCATCACTACGTGGCTCCCACCCTTGTCCGCATTTTCTTCTTTCTTTGGACTCTCGGGTTCTAAGTTGACCACGTCTGTTTGTGGAATTCCGGTAGACTTCGAGAAACTTGAAAGCAAAGTATACATCAGTCTGATTGCCTCTACCTTTTGTTCGTTGACATGTACTACTAATCTTGGCAGATTTCCCGACACCGTTACAGACGGAAAGTTTGGATCCGACGTAGAGAAAACGCGTCTCTCGATTTGCAATGATATATTGAAACGCTCCAAAACATGTAAGCTAGACATTCCTCTAGTTCGTACGTGTTTCCAATTATCTTTTACTTTTCCTACTAAAATCTGCAAATCGACCAAATCGATAGAATAATGATCGTACAGCTTTTGGTGCAACGCTGTTTCCGATATGGTCTGAAAATCTTGAACGGAACCATTTTCTTGGCTGCCAGGCGGAGTTGAGCAAGGTGTCTCGAATCTCTCGTCTTCGTCGTCGCTATTTGTTCCTGAGCCTGGCTTCATAATTACTTCGTCATTTTGTACATAATTCGTTAAATGAAGTTTACCAAAGTCGACAACTACAACCGCGGCATTGGAATCCGTAAAATTTTCTACTAACAAAATCTGAGGTGCGGATATGTTGAACTGTAAATCCCACGAAGAACGGTACACGAAGTCCCCTTCCAAAATTTGTTCCCAATTTTTTATAAGTTGTCTTCGCGTTCTACGCTTCATTGCTTGAAATCTTTGATTGGACGATGACCTGTGCGGCTTGCACATAAAATCTATGAGCCAATGTATCACGGTAGGATTATAAACGATATCCAGAGACTTCGAGTTAACGTGTAAAGAGTGATCAGCACTCAAGTGCAACGGGCGTTTTTCATAAGTCATCTCGAACAAATGCTGTGGCAATTGGTTCGTCAATTTCTCCGTGGAGCTACGTGTCCGCGATGTTGCGAACGACATTACTTGAGGTTGTACCAAAATTGGAAAAGTAGAATTTTCGGTGAGATAGTCGTGCAAATACAACGCTCCCAAACTGATAAAAAACTTGTGTGATCCAGACCTTGGCCTCGAATCGTAACTTAAATTTACTCGTTCGAATTGTAACTCTATTACAGTTTTTGTACATTCGTTATCGCTCTTCGTTGTGCAAAGTGAAACAGCGCCTTTCGATAACGTGAAATTAAATTGTCCGAATACAGTATCGCGACGTAATAACGTATCGTCGTCTATAGTATCTGCTAAAACATCTAGAAGTTCCCCGTCGAAAGTGGACGATGTGCCCTGAGTATTTGTATGCGGTGCCTTCGAATACCACCCCCACCACTGTGGAAACCATTGTTCGAGCATTCCCCGAGGTTGCGGTACATTGACATCCGAATTTGGAACAGGTTTTGGCGGCCTAACTCTTTGCATCGCTATTTCTCTTAATACCCTAAGTTCGTCAAAACTTCTCTCTTGTTCAACCTTTTCCTTCAACTGCTTATTATCTGCTGGTAAAATACTAGTTGGCGTCCCTACAAAATAATACTGTTTAATATTAAGTAGTCGCAAACGACAAACGTTTTATGAATCTTAATTAAGTACCTAGTAATTTAGTGTAAGTCTCGACGTACAAGATATTCTCTTTGCCTCTTTGAAGCATATCTTCCCAACATAATTTAGGTTTAAGAGTTTCCCTACCAATGTGACATCGCGCTGCATATTTCCACCATTCTTTAGGTGCCGCAGAGACGCTAACTGACGGACGGCAGCGTCTCTGTTGCTTGCGACGATCTATATCTTTCAGGCCTTTTATGCACTTGATTATTTGTTCGTATTGCACCTAACAAAAAAGTAGCTAGTACTTTGCATTAATATACTCGCTTAAATTTAACAACTTACATCTGTAATACATAGGGGAACATCGTCCAACAAAAGATCTACGATGATTCTCGGTTTGTTTGTAGATCTCAATGGTCGTTCAGACCTATCTCTTTTAATATGTGCTCTTGCACTAACAGGCGACAGAATGTGCTTTTTTATTATGTTCTTTGGCTCGCTCATAGCAATCTAACAAGAAACGAGTATTATTTAATGAACTACCAATCGATCTATTTTAAATGTTATTCAGATAATTTATATAAAAATAAATATATACAGCTAAATCACCGAGATTGAGAGAACCAAAAAACTCGTCGGATTTCAGGTGATTCCAGTAAACAGAAAGTCTATCAAGCTCCATAAGTTTAAAGGAAGCATCTGTAAGGTTCCATGAAGTAGAACCAGGTATCCACGTAGCATCGCAACTTTGAGCAGTTAAGGCTCCTATAGTCACACCAAGGGCAATGCCACTATCTATCAATTAAAATCATTTTCCAACTGTATTCTTAACAATATGACTTTTTATCTGAATAAGTAAATTCTTCCATTTACCATCTGATAATGCTACCCCATCTTCATATCTTATGTGGACATCTTTAATGTTAAGTTGCAAATTTTCAATGATATTTGTTACTAAAGAGGTGCCATAATTAACCCAAGAACTATAACTGGTAGCATAATAACCAGGATCACGTTCTGTGTCTGCTCTCCATCTTGCTTCTAAAGAATCTAATCTACTCAGTTTACATTCTACTATTGCTTGTTCCTCTGCTTCATTATCAAACTAAAATTTAATATTTAAAAATGAATACAGAGATTCGCAAATAACACAGGAGTATTAAAATGCATGTACCTCATCCAAACTTATTGGTCCTGCTACTAAATAAAGTTGTTCTATGACTATGACCCAAGATGCTGTCCTTATTTGACGAACAGGTACTTGCAGCCTGACTTTACCTATGAAACCTGCCTTTATTTCCACTGGTAATCCAATGTGACGTAATGCTTCCTTCTTTAATGGCAAATTTTCTAATTCAACCTCCCCTAATAAAGAATGCACATAGTTTTAGGCATGAATATTCATTCTATAAATCCTAAGAGGAACTTAATGCTACCATAAATTCATATTTGATAAAGATCAGCCTTGAAATTTATTTTGATAAACTGTCCAAGGTACAATATAACACATGACGAATTATAAATATTCGAGCAAAATTGTGATGGTATTATCAATAAAGAAATGTTGTCAGTAACATATTCCAAAACAAATTCATTTCTAAAGTTACACAAATGACTCAAAACGGAAGCATAACCTTACCTGACAATAAAGCAATGCTTAGTTGATCTGTGTTCAAATTCTCAACATACTTTCCCAGGTAATTATTCAACACCCAGGCTACAAGTCCTTCCAACATCTTGAAAAACTGGAAAGTTTCTTAACAACTATAAAAATGTACTTAGAGGCAGAAGTAGGCATAAATAACCTGCTTAGGTTATGTTCTCCGAGTTTTATTTAAACTTTCGAAATTCACGAAATAACAGCACTAGTGGATCGTAACGACAACAAAGTACGATTATTCTCAAGTAAACGCAGCATTTTTCATGTCCGTTTGCTACTGCGTTTATAGCGAAAACCACGAAATTCCCAGTTAACACCAGAAGTCATATCAAACGAGTCATTGATCGCACACCGCCGGTTGAAAGTGTTACAAAATGTTTCGACATTCTCGATAAGATTTTGAAAGCTGAAACTTACAGTTTCTTTACGCACAAACTTTTTTTTATCAATTACTCCATAACATAAGACTTCAATTCAGCGATAGATCATATAGATATGTCGTTTCGTGTATTATTAGACGCACGAGGAAATGCATTCGCGATCAACCGTTATATATTTTTAAGATTTTACGGAATCGTTAAAAACATTCGCCAATTACACGATGAAAGAAATAAAAATTCGTTTCTTACTCTTCTAATAATAAGCACAATTCCCCTCTATCTTTTTCATGCAATTCACGTTCGCATTAATAAGTGCACGCACGATGCACTTTTACCGCCCAATCAGAAAGTTCTTTTCGAACGTTTCGCGCAATGATTGTCGTTAAACATTATATTAATTAAACAAAGGGTATTCCGAATAACTGTAAAGATACTTAGATTACCAGTACACTTATTTATATTTCTTTGTTTCGTTTATTATTTCAATTATAAAAACATTCGTTAAAGATACCTAACATTGTACAGAAAAAAATTCTGATAGTTTATGTGTAGATAGATTTCGAGCGATGCTCACGCTTTCCGGATTCAAACAAGATGTACCCTCCGATTTCCAGCGTTTCGTTAAATAAATATAATCATCTTATTACACTCGCATCTATACATCGTAAATACCTGCTACTTTGTTAGTTAAGCACTTTCTCCTTCTCCTCGATGTCTACGCGATATGAAAATGACAAACTGTACTATGTGTATCCCACTGTAAAGTGTCTGTAAACATTGTGATCACGACAGAATTTATTCAGACTTTGGTTTCGTGTCCTCCTTGTAATGCAAGAACACAAGTGAAAATAAAAATACGCCGCCCATCATCGAGAATGCGCTTATGTAGTAAGGGAATGCACTTGGTATAAAACGTTCGTATTGTGTGTGTTGCAAAGGACGGACCGACACTTGCGTTGTACTATACAAATGGGTCAAACCGATACGAGTATAATCCACTTTAAATTGATAAACTCCGTAGACATCGGGGATTTTGAATCGTGCCTCGTAGCGACCGTTTCCTACTGGTTTCATCGTCATGCGAACGAATGGATCGATTCGAACGAATTCCAATTGCAGATCGTTCGTCTCGTAAGGAACCCATTTGTCGCCCGACAGTTTCTGAACTTCGATAGAATAGACGACGTCGTCCATTATCGTGTAAGCTGCAGGCGGTTCGGTTTCTCCGACTTTGTGATGATGAACGGAAGAGACGCGTATCACGCCATTTTCTTTGAAGACCCACTGCGCGATCTTCGTCGCTACTATCTCATTTCCAGATTTTTCGTATTTCTGGCCACCTGGATTATTTATTAAATATATAATTATTGTAACATTACTGCAATTTTAAGAATACATATTCCGAAATCGTTCTCACCTTGACCTTTCTGAATGGAACTAGTGAAAGCTTCATCACTGAAGAAGTATAATGAACCTGAGAACACAACTCTTGCATTGTTCCTGGCTTGGAGAGCTGCGATTAGTAATGTATTCTTGCCGACTGCATGAGGATAATCCTTTATAGGGTTATTTGGATTGTATGAATATGCTGAACTGGATGCTGTTAATAGACGCAAAATTAAAGGATTGTCTGTATCAGCAATAAGTCCAGTTCCTTGGTAAAGTAAAGGTGGTACATTTTTATTTCCAACAATGACAGGAGCATCTATCAAGTTGGATGGATCTGCAACTATTTTGGTATGATATCCATTATCAGTAATATCATAATTTAAATGATCTATGACTGTGGAACCCTCTTCATCAATTTCAAAACCACACTCGGATGCTAGTTCATGCAGTGCATCTCCAGACTGGGAAGAACCAGCTACCAGAACATTTCCACCACCATCTATGAAATCAGTTATTGCCTCAACACTTAATGCTCCACCAAATTCTTCCACAGATGGTGCAAATATTATTAAATGTTTGTATAAGTATTCCCCATACTTGGAGAGTGATAAATTAGCATCATCTGCTAATTTAAATGTTAACGTATATCCATTATCTATAACAGAATAGAAGGTATATATTAATAATGTGGAACTTATAATCAGGGGATAAAATTTCTAGGAACTTAACCTTCCTTTACTGTACTTTCTACAACTTTCAATAAAATTATACACGTAACAATCGTCTAATATAATAACATAAATACAGTGTTGTTATAGCTTTAAAAAAAAGAAGACGTATAAAGATATTGTCAGTAAATAATTATTGACAGGTATTTCTCTGAAAGTAGCCGGATGTTTACGTACCTTGCAATGTCTTAAAAAAGATGAAATGTGTTTCTCTAATAGCCAAATTATCAAGTAAAACGAGCGTAGGGCCAGCAGCATTCGCGATGCCGAGTATCGCGAATAGACAGAGGAATTTATCTATCAATCTCATTATGCACCATACGTAATGGCCACTTGCCACCACTTGCCACGAGACAAACCGGTGAGTTCTATCGGCCTATGAGTAGAGTCTTCATATACACACGTAATCAAACGGAAATATCCCCCTCGTATCGGAAGTGACACGTTCTTCGATGTTCTTCGAGTGAACCGCGAGAACGAAATCACAGAATACACACAGAGGCGAAACTCTATTTTATTTAGGTCTCAATTGTGAATTTACATGTATAGGGAGCTTATTGTAAATCGAACACTACTTTGAAAGACAACGTTAATAATACTAATCAAAGCAAGATTGTAATGTCATAAAACAAAGAATGGATTTAATTATTCATTTATGAAAAGTAAAGAATATTTAATTAAAAGATATCAGTGGCGCTATCTTACTGTAAAGGTTGGAACTATTTTCACTACAAACTTGGGCGTTTTTACACCGATGGCGCCACTAACCGGGTTAATAATTATAACAAAATTGAATAATTATTTATAATAAAAATGATACATTTGACATATTAACTAATATATCGTAGTGCTATAAAGCAAAGAATATTGTATCAGTACTATTATCACAACATTTTTGGGAACAACCATTTAGATTTCATTTTTATCGACTTTTTATTTATATAAATAGTGTAAACAATTTGTATAACAACTTTCTCATTATGTCTCATTATATATACTTTAGACTAATTCTAAGTTCTCATACTTTCTGATACATTCATTTACTTGTAAACGAGAACGATTGCAGTCATATGATGTTTGTTTACATCACCTTGTATTTAAAGAATTTGGAACAGTGGTAAATAATAATTGACAGCAATGCAGACTAATATGTCTGTAACACCGCGGATTTTTACCGCAATACAAAATGTAGACATACAAGAATTGTCACTTTGTTCTCATAAAGAAATTCGACCAATTTTACCATGTTTGGTTAGGATGAGTCTGATCTCTCCTTTAGATATAACGAAAGATTGTGTAGAAGAAAGAAAGCAAGTTTTGACAATTTTGTCAGGAATTGAGTCGGTGAACTCGATAATTGCGTTGCTTTCGATTGATTTTCATGCATTGGAGACTGATGTTCGAAAAGAGCAACAATTGAGGTTGGTGTTCTGTACTTACATATATATACTACGTATGTATAATGCAAATATAGATATTCCAAAAGCATTAAAAATTTTATACGTAATCAACATTTTTAGGCAAAAATTAGGTAGTTTACAACGCGATAGTGTCCTTGCTCAGTCATTGCAGAGTGGTCTCGCTTTGGAATTTGAACGCAGTGAGTCTACTAGAAGAATAAGGCTAGTTTTAAGCGAATTGTTATACATTGCCTGTCAAGTACAAGAGCAGCAGAAGAATCAGGAATTCCAAATCAAACAATCTGATCTATTTGATAATGCAGTATACATGGAAGAGATCAGTTATGTGATTTGCATTGCCCTTGCTGAATTACCAACATTGTTATCAATATTAGATATTACTGAAACATTATTACATGTTAAACATGGTCCAGAAATAATCTGCTGGATAGTTGCAAATATTCCTGATAGTTTTAATGAAGTATGTGCTCATTTAATTGCCAATGGAGAAAAACAAGAAGAATCGACATTGGGCAGGATTAGAACAATGGCTTTGACTATGTTGTGTCAGATGAATCCGAGTCAAGCATTGGCAGTAAGAGCCAAGTGTGTGGAGCTTTGTAGAATGCCTGCTTTAGCAATTACATTAAGTTTGGAACATGATAATATAGATAATGCTTTATCAGAAAGTGATATTGTTGCGTTTGTATCAGGATTACTGCTTGGTAGTGATCAACAAGTAAGAACATGGATTGCAATGTTCATTAGAAATGGTCAGAAACGCAAATGGGAATCACATACTGCATTACAATCTTTAAGAGAAGAACTACTCAAAAGGCTGCAAAGAATTACTTCCCAAAATGCAGGTCAATTAGCAGAGAGTCAAGTAGTTCAAGCCAGTGCATTATTGCGACTTTATTGTGCATTGAGAGGTATTGGAGGTATTAAATTTCAAGATGACGAAGTAGCAATGATTGTTCAGTTGTTGACATCTCATCCTCCTCCATCACCAGCTGGTGTAAGATTTGTTTCTTTAGGTCTTTGTATGCTTATCGCGTGTTCATCATTGATAGGGCATCACAATCTTGAAAAACGTAGCATAGAATGGGTGCAATGGCTTGTCCGTGAGGAAGCTTACTTTGAAAGCGCTAGCGGCGTGACGGCCAGTTTTGGAGAAATGTTACTTTTAATGGCTATACATTTTCACAGTAATCAACTATCGGCTATCTGTGAACTTGTATGTGCAACTTTAGGGATGAAAATACCGATACGACCAAACAATCTAACTAGAATGAAGCAAATATTTATGCAGGAGATATTTACAGAGCAAGTTGTTACTTCTCACGCTGTAAAGGTGCCAGTAACAGCTAATTTAAATGCAAACATTCCAGGATTTTTACCTGTTCATTGTATTCATCAGTTATTAAAATCGCGAGCATTTGCAAAGCATCGAGTACCGATAAAAAATTGGATTTACAGGCAGATTTGTAATAGTGTGCCACCATTACATCCAGTTCTTCCTGCTTTAGTTGAAGTATACGTCAATTCGATTTTAGTATTAAATAATAAAACATCAGAACACACAAACAAGCCAATTATGGAAGGAGAAATTAGAAGAGTATTTCAAAATAGTGTTTTTGGGGCAAACTTTGACTTTAAAAAAAGTACTATTAATGTACCTCAATGCGAAATAGATACAGATATAGATATTCCAAAACCTTCTCTTACGTCGCAATTATTGCTACTGTATTATTTGCTATTGTATGAGGATGTCAGATTAGCCAACATGCACACATTTATATCACAGGATAGAAAAGTTAAATCCTATTCAACTGAATTTCTGTCGGAGTTACCAATAAAATATCTACTTCAGTTGGTTCAAAGAGATCAAATGAACTATGCTGGCTTGTTTTCTCCTCTTCTTAGACTATTGGCAACTCATTTTCCTCATCTTTCGCTAGTAGATGATTGGCTTGACAATGAGATGATTAACATAGACTCTACAATTACAAACTATGAGAACGTAAAAATTACCGATATCATGATCATCGAAACATTTTCACATATCCAAACATGTCCTTCAAGAACAGGAAGGCTTTTAAGACAATTAATGTCAATGAAACCAACCGATATATGGCCTCATGCAGAAGTTATAATTTACTATTTTAAGGCAACTTTAAACTTAAGAGTTCCTAGATATATTCAAGGTAATATTTTACTCTTTTTAGAGAGTATATTAATATTAAAAAAAAATTCTTTAAAATATGAAATATTAAACGTTAATTTACTCTTTTAGAATTATACAAACAAGTATGGCTCAGGTTAAATACGGTGTTACCGAGGTGTTTATGGGTTTTGTCTATAAATTCGCTATTAATAGAGAATTCCATTGTAAAGAATGTTTTTTTAACGCAAGAAAACATTGTGTTAGATCCATTACAAGTTTTGCGATGCGATACGAGAGTTTTTAGATGCGCTCCAATTTTATCCATTATTTTAAGGTAAAGTTTTAAAAACTTGAAACGTTTTAATACATTTAATTTTTATCAATTATCATTTTGTGACAAATACTTTCAGAATTTTGCAAGCTGCATTAGCGGCTTCCCGATCACAGTTATCTAGGCATGTACAAGATAAACCATTGACCGAAAAAACTGGTCAGCTATCGAGTGAAACGGAAAGAGAAGATTTAAGAACAGCTTTAGTGGCAGGTCAAGAAAGTGCAGCCGTGCAAATATTATTAGAAGCATGCTTAGAAACGGAAGAAGATAGAGAAACTCCTGGACAAATGTGGTCGCTAAGAGAGATTCAAAGTATTATTTGTTCGTATTTGCATCAAGTGTTTATAGCAGATCCGTCTTTGGCTAAATTGGTTCATTTTCAAGTATGTTATTTACAATTCACGATTATAAATAATTTATACAAATATTCTATAACAACTATTATCTATATATACAGGGATATCCAAGAGAATTGTTACCCATTACTGTAACTGGTATTCCATCTATGCATATTTGCCTTGACTGGATTCCTGAATTATTATCTCAACCAGAACCAGAAAAACAAATATTTGCCGTGGATTTAGCATCACACCTAGCAATTCAATACGCTCTACCAAAGGCTCTAAGCGTTTCACGTTTAGCAATTAATACTCTTGTAACACTTTTAGGAGTATTGTCCGCTAAAGATCGTGTTATTTTATTCATGCCTGTATTACCAGCTTTAACACGTATATGTTTAGCTTTTCCACCATTAGCCGAAGACACTACTGGCTTACTGTTACAGCTTGGCAGAGTTAATTCCGCTCAAGCAGCATTAGGAGATAAATCTGCAGATACTTTATGTCAAGAAGTTACTGAAACATTTTGTATGTTGTTACAAAAAGCAATATTACAATCACAAGTATACTGAAAGTAACCTTATATATGCCATGTGTTAATTATGGCGTTAATGTTTTATTAAATTTTATTACATTTGAACACCGGTTATCGGTATACGACAAAGAACTGAACTTTAGGACTATATTCTACTAATTGTAATACTAATAAACAATCACATAAACATAGCTTTGGAAATGCTTTTTTAATGTTAATGAAAAATAAAGAATTCATTAAAAATATCGGTGGTAAAATATCCAATTTTGTAGTGAAAATCGTTCCAATGATTTCTATAAGATGGAGTCACCGACATCTATTAATCAATTATTTTTTATTTTTCATAAATACATTATTAATACGATTCTTTACTTTATGACACTATGTTAGATTATTTTAAATGCAGCAATAATTATCGACCCTTTATTTAGCGGGGCCATCTTATAGAAACCATGAGAACTATTTTCACTACAAACTTGTAGAAATGATGCTATTTTTATTTTAATTTTATGAAAAACTTAAAACGACAAAAGTCTTAGTGTTACAGTTGTATTACTAAAGTATTAGTACTACAAGAAATACGAAAATAAAACCAGCATACTCGAAAATGCAACCCGCCGAGCAAAACTGTAAACAAGCAGAACGTTGCATTGTTACAGGCTCAAGCTATGCTCTTCCCACAGCTGTGTCAATTTTATATTAAATATGTTTCTAACTGTTCAACTCGAGTACTAGAAATGTTTACTAAATTAGATAAAGTAAGAGTTATAAGTTCTTCACTGCTATCTAGACGTCCCTATTCAACACTAGCTTAAAACCTGTTTAGTTGTGAAAGGAGAAAAGGAAACCTTTCTCTGTCATTATCTTCCTTTTATCAGTATCAGTTTAGGCTTCTTAGTTCTCTACGACACAGCTGCATTAAGGTAATTAGAGATATTCGACTATTATTAAGAATAAGTAGCGATCAATTTTCGAAGGAGGTGAAAACGTTTCTGTCGGTTCTGCGACGTTATCACGTATACATAGTTCCTACTAAATTGTCTGTACAATTACATATGCAAATGAGCCGCGGCTAAATGAAACTGTTCCTGTAAATCCTCGATGACACACATTCGCACGGCTCCTTGGAGCTCATCCTGCCTCGTTGTTAGCCTACTGCAGAATATAGACAAAGATAGACGAATGCGTTCACAGACGGTGTATTTTTAAACATGCGAAGCGGGTGTTTAATATGAAAGGCTTTTGACGGATAAAAGGCGTGCAACAAGTGCAGTAGCGATGCATGCAAGCGCAGCAGGATCTAGATATGTATTATATATTTTATTTCTCAATTTTTTTGTACCCTTCATAAATCCACCTTGTTCAAGTTTATAAGTTTTAGTATTGAAAATTTTAGGACTTGTTTGGTCTATATCTGCTGCTGGTTTGGTTGTACTTACATCTCGAATGTGATAACGTTGAGAGAGGGAGGGGGGCGAACTAACGGCACGCGAGACGATTATGTTGATGCGCTGTCGAATTATAAATAAAATTTGTTTCATGTTTAAAAGCATCAAAATGTTTTAAACTAAATGTAAATTAATCTTTCAGCCACTGACCACCTTAGATAATGCAATATTAATGATCAATAATTCAATAAAAACATATAGAGTTTACAATTAATTAAATTATTATTATATCTCAGTAATCTTCATTTGGTTTAGGGAAATAATTTTCTCTAGCTCTACCGTCAACAAGTAATAAAACTGAAAATATGGAACACGTATTCTGTGACTTGTAGACCATGTTAAATGCTCTTTACATAACTGGACACACAAAAGATAGTCTTGGAATGACAATCGACGTAACCATCGTTTAAAGTTGTTTTTACAATAATTCTCGACGTTTAATTTTCCTAAAGTAAAATCAATTTATTCAAAGAACAATATTAAATTTACATGCTGTGGAGACGAACACATCATTAATTAAATATTACTTATTTTTGCCTGTTTTTGCTCTTGCATACTAGACCAATTATTTAAAATAATATTTAATGTTATATGAGAAAACAATCAGTAACGTTTTATTTAACTTTACCCAATTACAAATTAACGTTTTAGCAAACAATTAGCAGAAATTATTTTCTCATGTAACATTTAATAATTATAGTTTTTAAATACTGTAGCACGTGGCACGTGGCTGATAAAAAAAAATAAGTTTTGCCATATGGTCAGAGAAGGTTCGCCACCTCTGCGATGATGCGACTTCGAAGTGACGCTATTACGACCGCCAGAATGGTTGGTCTTTCATAAATAACGCTGTCGCTCCTTCCCTGTCATGCGGTTACGAACGATAGCGGGTTTTCCGACGGCGATTCCCCAGTATTTCAATATTCCTCTACCACGCGCACCGCGAGCCACTTATTTGCATACGGACACGCGAAGAAACCGCTCGTGTCATTTGTAAACGCGTAAGCGCACGTTCTATTTGTCCGATGCCGAAGATACAATTTACGAGCTCGAGATACGTTTCGAACGTGAACTTGACAGCGTTCAAGTTCAACATTTATTAATCATAAATATGCCAATCTTATGTAGTTGCACTTTTAATCAGAGTTACACGATGCGAATTCTAATCGTTTCAAAGTATTTCACCCTCGAGGCCACGAACGGTTCACATGCACCATGATAATAATTAGATTGACTTAATCGTTGATACCATATACTTTATTTTAAGAGCAGCACAAAGAAACTTTCGGAAACTCCATGTTTCTGTCAGAAGGAATACAAGGTCCTGAAGATGGTTTTTTAAATATAGTAAAATAACCGTGCTGTTGCTTTGTCAAACTGATTATGGTTCCAAGACTTTCTAAGTAAACTACTTCAAGGATACTGGAACGACGAAATAATTTACATTTCTCAGTCCATCGTTTCGTAAATCAACAAGCGCGATAACTTAAACGTCGTTACGGCAAGAACAAACATAGAAAATAGCCAAAGCGAGAATGAATTGACAGGGGTTTCCCTTTAATCACGAATAAATTGCATTCCTGGGAGCGGCGTCTGGATACTTGGCGAGATCGTTCTACGGCGATTACCTTATCTGCCTCCAAAGGCCAGAAAAGAAGCGTCATTGGCCGCGGTCGCGTCTTCCAGTAAACGCGTGAGAGAGAATAGGCGTGCACACAACGGAGCGGTACCGCACACGTATATTGAGACCACACAGTCAGTTATTATGTAGCCGATATGGCTTTGAGGCAATTAATACTATTGTTATGATTCAGACGGGTACGTCATGTATGTTTCGCGGCGATGCGATGCCAGCCTTCGGTCAGTGTTCTACCACTGAGACTTGCAGATACTCGTTCCCGTCCGGGACACTTGCATGAAACGTGCACTATTCCGCAAGTAGTTTAGTGGCTCTAAACAGCGTGTCCTGAGAAATGCGCTCCGTCATCAGATCAGCTCCAACGTTCAGTGTCGTTGTGCCTGTAGAATATAATGCAGATATTAAATCCCAAATAAATACACTTCATGTTTTACATAAAGATCATAACACAGTTTCGAAGTGAACGGAAGACATGGAACGCAGTGGCTTAACTTAACAGTACCGATAATCGCAGTTGTGATTGTGTAGACATATGGCTGCAGTGATTCAGTTGAAAAGGGATGCAATGTTAACAATGAACGTTCGTAAAAACCGTGGCACGATTCTTTGACTCTTCTTGCAGCAGGAGCATCGATGACGTAGGGTGAGACCCGGCAACAGGCGTCGGTGTTCCGGTGGCACAGGTATTTGAAAGGAGCAGGAAACAATAGAGGCGCCGACGATGTCGAACAATAATCTCGGATCGTTCATTGAAAAGGATGTTACAAATAGGAACAATGTTGATAATCACAATGAAAAAGCGACGAGCGAGAAGTACGGAAGAAGTAATACCAGCTCCACGCATAGGAGTACCGAGGAGATAGCAGGAAAGTCGAATAAATATACCCAGATTGATTTTGCACAATTGTCTCACGGTACACAGAGAACAAGACCAACATCCATCGCTTATCTGGGAAAACAGCCACAGATAAACGACTCCAGTTACGCGTACTACAACGTCAAAAACACGTTAACGCCGTCTCAGAGCGAATTAGTCCTGTCGCCTAGAAGCAGGCACAGTCGTCATGTGGCCTTAGACATGAGACTTACGAGCCTTCCGTTTTCGAGTCCTTATTCGAACAGTCATATGTTGGGAAGCAACACGCCGGTCACATGTTGCTGTACGTGCGCAGGATCGCAGGTACCACAGACACCATCTTCCCATCACACGGAGGAGCAAGACGGTCCTGAAGGTCTCTCGTGGAGGAGGCTTCACATGAGCCGCGCAAAGCTGAAAGCAACCGCAACAACATCAGAACTGTTAAGTGGATTTGCTATGGCAAGTATTTACTAAATTTACTTCCTTTTGTAAACGTACATGTGACCATGACGGCTAATCAGTGGTGGCGAACCTTTTGGCATTGAAATTCCTTCGACTCTATAAGTACTTTACTAAATATAAATTAATATCTTTTTAGGAACCCATAAACGGGAGAACAATTTTGTAGTCTACGTTTTTCTTTTTTTCAAAACAAGGAAATGGAGAACACGCCGACTATAGAAGATAGATATATCGACACTGTGCTTTACAAATAACTATTTTCTAATCTTAATTGACTATAATAACACACCGCTTGCGAATGTACAATAGACATAGAGATACGCAATCGATCAAATATGCGAGAAGGCCGCAGGTTCACCATTCCTGGATTAGACGTTTGTAATATTAAAAAATATTGTCAATGTTAGCTTTTCAATTGAAACTTTAAAATATATGATTTATTACGCTGATGGGTCGCTATAAATCAATGTCTTCCTTCACAATACGTATGTGATCTAATCCATGATGCGTAACCACAGAATACTAGTAGCGTAAAAAGATTCATCGATACGTTAAGTGTCTTCGTAATGAAAAATGTATGATGGCATAAATTCGATGTACTTGCCGTTGGAAATTCTTTAGCGAATTTATGTTCCGAGAAAATGTGTGGTTGTACGATCAGAAAATCCGCGGGGGATTACACAACGTTTCCTGAAAATCATTAAATGAACGCGGACGACAATTCCGCATAATCTTCAACCTCATCTATGATTATATAAGACAAATATCACTTTCTTTGAGAATATATCTTGGTTGGCTGACGCTAACGCAATTCATTTTCGAATATCTGATCAATGGCGCTTGAATTACGAAGCACAATTCGTCAAATGAACATGCACTTGACAAGAACATGTATCGCGTTGGTAATGATGCGCATACGTACGACTGCAAGCTAAAGTACAAAAGTTCTAGGAAATACTTGCCTTTATCTTGGGCATTACCGTTTTACACTTTTTATCTTTTTCTTATTCTTAACTTTCAGGTGGCTATGGTAGAACTACAAATAAACGAACCAACTGCAGTACCGGAATGGCTGTTTGTGATGTTCGCTGTTTGCACGACCGTCCTAGTATCAGTACACATCTTTGCTTTAATGATAAGCACGTATTTATTGCCTAATATTGAAGCCATCAGTAAACTTCAGGTATCACGGCTCGTAACGGAATCTCCGCATGAGAGGATGCGTGGCTTTATAGAATTAGCTTGGGCATTTTCCACGGTGCTAGGACTGTTTCTTTTTTTAGTGGAGGTAGCTATACTGTGCTGGGTAAAATTCTGGGATTACTCTTTTACAGCCGCGACTGCCAGTACCATCATAGTGATTCCAGTCCTCATAGTCTTCATAGCTTTTGCCGTTCACTTCTATCATTCGCTGGTAGTTTATAAGTGTGAATCCTCTGTCTCTGATATGAACGAATTAGAGAGTATAAAAAGGAATTTAGATAACGTGACGATGGCCCAAAGCAGTGTATAATTACAGGCTTGATACAATAACATCTGATACTGTAAAAAATAATTGCCATTTTTCGCGTTACACGAGCGCATATGTATCAGCTGCAGATCAAATATTGTTGTTTCCTAAAATACGTACCAGACTGTAAATTGTTACTCATATTCTGTAATATAGTATTGTAATCGTTAGAAATTAAATACTGTACTTAAAACAAACTATGTACATAACAGTGATAGAAAAAGAACACATATAAGTTTATTCGATAACTTTACTTTTTTTTTTTTTACACGATCACGCGAAAATGATCGTGTTTTATTATATATAAAAATGTACATAGCTGTACACATGCAAGTCAAGAATTGCAACAGTACAAGCAAAGTGCTCTTAGTATATTAGCTATATTATTTAGCATTTAATTAGGTTCTATTTACGACTTAATTCTCAATTCTTCTTTAAATGTGTTTCTTGTTTGCTTCGCCTTTATCGTACGTTAAATCGCTAATGTATAGATTTTTGTTTTGTCACTTAGTTTGTGGGAAAACTGAAGGACAGTTGAGTATTCAGTTTATGTACATGCTTTCGTTCCAGAACTTGTTATCCTAGTCAAATAAATTATTTTTTTCAGACTTGAAGACTCTCATTAATCAAAGTGCGGCTCGTTACTTAAGCTATAAAAGGGAAAATATATCATTTTTATCCACCTTTCATTTTCACCATAAACTAAGTTATGATCTTATAATTGATATTTTCTACATTAATATGCTTTAAATTCTGTTTGTACAAAAAAAAAAATGATATGAATCAAAGGAAGAATTGTAATTAAAGCAAGGACATAATACAAATGTTTTCCTACAAAAAGTGTTTCACAGACTCGCCTGTAATAATAAGAAACAGTGAAAAGTATCTTATATTGCACAACACCTCTAATCGCGTACTTGTTTTAATTAAAATGTTCGACTTAATTTAAATTTACAAAATTGATTTGTCGTTTTATACAATGATTGGAATAGTCAATTACAGGATTTGGCGCGAAATCGTCAATATGGAAAATTAACGTATAGAGTTAATAGTATGTACATTGGAAGGAAAACAAATTAGAACGTACAATACAGAAGAATGAACTCTTTATGGTAATGTACGTTAGTTCGTTTGAAAACAAGTGAATGATTACAATGAACCATAAAATGAGTCTTAAACTTTCCGACATCTAATGAAACACAATTAGATTCACCCGCTTTGAGGATGATTAAAAGTCTTCGTTTCTGTTTTTGTAACGGAAGTAAGTAAAATATATTTTTATCACTTGTGTCCTTATCTTATAAGTGAAATAGATATTTGTTTTACTCGTAAAAAATGTCTTCCATAGGGCGCATAATGAATAAGAACAAACTGCTTGTGCTATGGACAGGTAAATTAATGAAGTATGGGAAGAATTACAGTTTTATACAAAAACTAATTAGACTGTATCAAAAAGAGTACTTTATATATAAGGTATTTATATCCCGTATAAATCGTTTAAATTACTTTAATTGCGTTAACGTAAGTAAAAAAATATTTATGTATAAATAAATTTTTAAAATGGATTAACGCAATTAGTTTTTGTATAATACCATTTAACATCGATCAATCGGTATTACAAAATAAGGCTGAAATGTTTAAGACAAACGGGTTGTTAAAATTTCACTAACGAACAAGATTACAACTATAATATTTTTTCTCCCATACTATGGATTAGATTTCACTTTCTAAGTCAATATACAAGTGTACAAGTTATATTAGTTTAAATTGATACCGTATGACTGTACCCAATAATTTATCGCTTCTAATACCGTTTACTTTCCTAAGTGCAAAACAGATTACATTAAAAAATGTTACTAGTATTCTTAAAATATTCTTATCTATAAAATATATTCACAGACTAAGATTCGGATGCATATATAATTTACTCATCATTTTTCGAACGCGATGGATAAAGTATTACAAAAGCAAAACGTAAATATCTAACCCATTTCTGTATCTAATTCACACATAATCCAATGTAAATTGTATAAATATTATGAAAGTAATCATTATTCCAATCATGTCACATTGTATTATATAGTATTATATAATGCGTTATCTCGTATTATATCAATCTATAGTACTATAAAGTGATACAACAAAAGTTAAACAAAAAGGAAAGGTTATTTTTGTAAGACCTCGTAATAAATTGGCTTTCGTACAATATTATTTTCAGTCTTGTTTTTAAATAAACATATAAAGTCTTTCTGGTGCCTATCCATAGCAAGAGCTTAGTTAAAAAACTCTATTTCGCAATAATAAAATCTTTCTTATCACGTGACAGTTCTTGAAAATCGAGACGTAAATATGCAATTCATTTTTAATAATAAGAATCTATAACTTCCACTTTTATCCGTCTTAAAACTGTTCTCAATTTTTCGGTCGTGCTATACAAATTCAGCAAGACGTTTGGCAAGTTGAAATGCTTGCTTGTTAATCCTAATAACAAACTGTAAATTTTAACTCTTACATTTATAAAAACGAAAATTTATATACAAGTTTGCATAAACGATGCTTTGTTCGATACTAGCCCCAAGTAAAAGAAAGTCACAACCTACACACATACATTCACTAGATCTTCGTGGAAATCCTCGAATAATTATCAAATTACTCTATTCATAACTACATATTACATACAATTATTCTGATATCCATTGAACAATAAATTAAAAAAAAAAAAACTTTCTGCACAGAGTATCACACACATTTATAACGAAGTTAGAGCGAAATAATTAATATGTAAACACGTTATTAGTTCAATGTAAAAAAAAAAAAGAGAGAGAGAGGACAATGCATTTAAATCATTGAAAATTTGTATGATAATCTCGTTGTAAAACTAAAAAAAAAATGTCATTTTTTAAGTGAAACTCACAACACGTTTAAGTATAATTACTAAATTGCAAGACAATAATCGATATCGTTTATTTTACCTACTATATATAGTCCGTTTGTTTACTCAACATTAAATTTATGTCACGAAAAAAATACCAACAATGTATTTGCAGCGATTAATATTCTAAATACGATTTTAGAAAACTGTTTCGTCTTCCAATTTAGAAAAGAGACTTTTACACTGCTAATGTTGCATTCCTAATATTACATTAAATCAATTTCTTAATATGTTACACCTTTAGTTACACTGCAAATTACACGCATTACTTTTTAAATGCGTAACTGCAATTTGCATCGTGGCATTAAAAGATGCGTATCGCGTATAGAAAAAAATTACTTACATTAAATGACATTCATAAAAATAAGGGCATGATGATAAGTGACAACAGGATTCATACAAACAGTTTTCCTTCCTTAACGTGTAATATACACAAACTCATGACTCTTGTCAAACTTCCATGTGCTTAGAAGGTTGTTGAGATATGAATGGTTCACTCCACATCCGACGTAAATCCCCCTGAAACAAAGTATTTAAGCAAGTTAACACACATACACAAAAGTACAATAAAAGTAAAGCCTATTGTTTCAGAAGTACCTTCAAGTACGCCATCGTAAGTAGCGGCAATAAGGTGAAGGGCACAAGGTACAATAAGGCAGGCTGCGCAGCTTTGAACACCTCAGAGCTTACAGTAGCAGTAAGTAAACCAAGAAAATAACCGATCAGGGAACAATGAAAATAACTAATGCGATTAATGTGGCGCGGTGGTGGAACTCCCGTTTCACAACCACCAGGTAATAGTTGCGTTTTCTTATATGCATCGTATCGTAAGACGAAACAAAGTAAGAGACCAGGCATCACAACATCGCCGAGTCCTAGCATTGAAAAATGCCCCGCTTGATGCATCGATGGAAAAACTAATTTTCCAGGCAGAGGAAGTTTTGGTGCTTCTCTTGCTACACCACCTAAGTGCAATCTTCTAGCCACAAGATTTACTGGATTATCCGCTGGTCTAGTTGCTACCTGTTAACAAACAAAATGTTGACGATCAATTATAGTACTGCTCATGGTGAATATCGATTATCCGAATAAGAGGATAAATCCTGATACCAAAAATTGGACTAGAAAACAGAAGTTGCAACATATCTCCTTTTGAGTTTTCGCCCATTTGAATGCAATAACCAACGTATTTTGGCACACTAACACTTTGTTTTTGCAATGTCTATTTCTGCATTGTCTGGTCTCTGATTTATCGTTTTTCGCTAATTTTATACTCTTACAGGGGTGATTGTTGCATTGATGACTTGGCTTACTGCAATATCCTAATGATCGTTCGGATAATCGACGTTCCACAAAAATAATATTGTTTGAAACTCACCTTAACCATTACATTTGTGCTGAATATATAGGATGAAAAGAAAACCCAGAAGACATCGTAAATCAGTAGCCCAGTCAGCAGTATTGTGGATACCTTCAGACTAGGTAATCTTATGAATGCAATGAATGCCACACAAAGTCCCATACCCATTGCATCCATGAGCAGCCAATGCCCGGTTAACACCCAGATGCATACTATACTGACGCTCAGAGAAAATGAAAGCAACTCTGCACCTGTAAACCTTCCACAAACACCGAAGGATATCTTATTACCATCTGAGCATGGTCTAATGATGTACTGACACATAGGCAATAGAAGAAATGCCAATGCAACGGTAGCTACAACTGTAAATAAAAAATTCATTTAATATTGGTTATAATTTGGTTACTAATTGTTAAAATGATGAATATTCTGTATAACTTACTAGCTGTACAAATCGCCACGAGCATCTGCATACTGTCGAAAAAGAAAAACATGACAAGCAGAGAAATGGAAGCACCGAGAGGTAGACAGAGAGCATGCATTGTATTTAGGGTTTGAACTCTTCCATTAGCACCATCCGCAGTTGCTGTGCTACTGTTACTCAATATTCCAGTCAATAAATTACTACGTTCTTTTTCTTTCTCCCTTTCTCTAGCTTCCTGTTCCATATTTAGAGATCGGAAACTGCCATAGACTATCAATAAAATCGATATTAGGAAAGTGGATATCCTAGATGAATCCATTATGGTATAAGCCCTAAAATCAAAATTAATTAAGGGAAATGTATTTATAACCCATGTGTTTATCTACATAGTAAACAAAGACTAACCACTGGTAGTCAACTTGATACGTGGCCATTTTTAAAAATGCCTGGCCAAAGCATGAAACGCTACGCTAGGACACCTTCTGACATTTAGATGTCCTATTTGAAAGTGCTCCTTGATCGCACTAACCTACATCAGAGATCATCTGTAATCGCTGCAAGAACGATAATCAAGCATTAGTCAACCAGAAATCTTATGCATGGCATGTAAACCATACCTGTAATGCCGTGCATTCAACATTGTCAGCAATGAAATTAGGCCTTGCGGAACTTCGGTCACCCCCTTTGGAAAATAAAGTGGCAATGTTACGTTGCTGACACCGAGCAAGACAAAACAAGGCAGCAATGATTGCTATTGGAGATATTACATGAAACAATAAGATTCTGACGTCTAGAAATGGAAGATAAAAAAAAAAAACAGCACTGTTCCAGGGGTTTAATTGGTTCTAAGGCATCGCGCAATTAACGTGGCAGTCATTGCACCGTGAGCGTGCACATATCGAAATGCTCACGGTAAGTTGCAACGATTCACGCGCACGATTAATAATTGCCAAGATATTATACGCGGAAGACACTTTCGTACGACCACTTTCAAACTTTCGCTGGAATCGTTCGTGACTGAGCAGAACCCGATTCAGCTGTAACGATAGCAGCTAGTACTGTTCACCTACGACATATTACTGTTAACGGTATGACCACCATAACCCCGTTTCCATTTAGCAAGACTATCGCAGGTGAACGAGCAGATTTCGAAAAGAATCGGGAATCATTTGTAAAACATAGACGTTCACCATTTTGGTAAACAGAGGGGTCACGTGACCAGCGCTGGCCCCAAGAGGTTGCTACTCCCTTACCCCAGATTATGTCTCGACGCGATATTTTGGTGATCCCACGCGTCTCACCTGGGAGGTCCGAAGTCTGGGCCCTTCGTAGGCTCTCTCATCACCTCATGTACACGAACACGGCCCGCGTAATATCGAGGAATCAGCGAGGCGATACGAGGAAAATACACGCGAGAGAAATATGTATTACCGCGCGATCGGTCAAATACCACAGTCAACTATACACAGGTCAACTGCTGGTTGACAGGCGCAGACCTGCGTCGAGCTCCTCTACTGGGTGTTCGAAACGCATTAACTTTTACGAATTAATACGGATACCTGAGACGGTAAGCGTCCGTTTCGTTCGTTTTCGCCAATTTCGATACATTGTTTAAACGGTTCTAATTATTTTAGCAAATCAACGTTTTGTATGATGTTTTGTTCGTAGGGATCGTTTTAGAAATGGGGATCTATTCGAGACTAGCTTTTTTGCTCGCTGTTTCTGTACATAGAGATAATTAAAGTGAGTGGATATCTTTTTTGTTTTGCAAAGTTTGATATAAAGCTTGCATATAACATTTGTGTACAGTCATGCCGAAACAAATATTAAAATACACAAATGGGTAAGCAATAATTTTGAGAATATTACCTGAATATTACCTTGGCTTGGAAAAAGCAAAAAAATACTATCCTTAAAGATTTATTTATATGTATAGATGATTAATCCCGTTCTAAGTCACGCAACAGTCAGTCGCGAAACTGCGTTTCGTTATGTAATTGATAGATATATTATTTATATAATATTGGAAGAAAGACACATGTCACTTAAATTACGAAAGATGCACGTGGAGCTAAGGGGATAAATGCTCATTTTGGATCGATTACATTGATTGCGACACGTCCTATTTTGCATGGTAATTAAGAGAAATGACATTTATTTATTATTTTTTGCTATAAGACTCAAGGAGGTTATAAAAAGATAGGGAATAATGTTAGATCACTTCGTCGATAATGCCATAGGGAATAACAACGTTATCGACTTGATCGTTTTGTTCAATCACCATTACTTGGGATAATATACCTACTTATTCGCAGAATAAGTAAATATAAACAAATAGACAAAAGCATGCGAATAAATGGAATAAAAATACATAAAATTAAACGATATTTAAGGATAAAAAAAAGAACAATCGCCCTCGATCGCTTCTTTCTTCCCTTGTGCGCGCGCAGTGGTGGTGGCGCATACAAATAAAAAACTTATACGCTCTCGTTTGTCATTCTCTCTTAGACTGCCGATCGAATAGAATAGAGTCAATAGAGCTTGATTTTTTAAACTGATATACCGACTTCATAAAAAAAATAGTCGTCTTGCAGCGTACTCTATATTTAAGGACGAAGATTCTAGGAATCACATTCAATTTAACCACAAAAGTCGGTAAATTATAGGCCCCTGAACGAATGAGACCCGCCTTGACTTAGGGACAAACTCTTATCACTCAAGTATAACCTTGAATGTATTAATATGAATGTATTACATCAGAGGTACATTAATATTTTTTAATTTATTAAAAGAAACGTTTGATTCGTATAATTCCAACTTTGATACTGCGAATACAGACTTAAAACCATGTCGATAACGTTGGAATTCATTGGCCAGTAATCGATAAAGTAGTCTAACGACGAAGTCCACCTTTCTCATACCTTCCTTTACTAAATCCTATCGAAATAAGGGATATTAAATTATCCTAATCAAACGACAAATACACGTAGCTAATCTTGATATTCATGTTTCTGGGCTTCGTACAGATATATTATAAGCACGTGATCTGACTACATAACTATTAATACATCGAAATTCGTAACATATTCTTTGTACAGTAGAATAAAGAGACACTCGAGTACATAGTTCCTACGTTGTGCGATCTGCTCAGATAAATTAAGAGCTTGGTTCGGTTTGAAGATAATGGTCAGTATCAAGCATCTAATCGAAGAGTGTGGCGAGTGCTTTTTCTTCATGACATATCCGTCGAGCGGAACGATTCATCTGTGCAGATCGTACAAAAATTTTACCAAATGACAGAACGAGTATATTCTCGTTGGCGTGCTCGTTTCAAGAAGTACGTAATAATTTTGCTAATCTTCCCGCGGCGTGATAAATCCGTCCACATTAGTTTTTAATAATGACATTAAATTTATCGTGTGTTTCGCGGTCACATTGTCTGAGTAGAATTATAGCACGTGCAGATAACGCTACTTTTGTGTTAAATCAATAGAAAACCATCGAGTATGACAGCAAAATTTCGCGATTTCATTTGTTTTCACGAAAACGTACATCTTTTTAGAAATTCATATTTTTGTTCCTTGGAACTCGAACGACCAATGAAAACCAAAAAAATTCAGCATATGTCAAGCGTTCAAAAAGTTTTGTCAAAATTTTAAATCACGAAACTGTTCGCACAAGGATCCGACGTTATCGATTATTGTTCACTTCCACGTTATTTTCAATCGAAGTTGTTCCTTGCGCGATGATCGAGAAGAAAACGGGACAATAAAAACGTTGAGAAATCTGCAAAATCACAGATTACCCGTAATCAAATTTATACGTGTTGGTGTATATAGCCAAGTATGAGCACTATACAGGGTGTACCAAAACATGGAATATAAGTTGACAGTTAATTTTTATTAAAAAGACATGGCTTGATTTTTTGCAAATTTCGATAAACGACTTTAAAAATACGTAAGTCACCTATGGATGTAAACAAAACTGATTTGACGAAACACATTTGCATTTAATATAGTATTAATTTATAATTAAAAAAACAATATATTAGCAATAAATTAAATTCCCAGAACAACGTTAATGTGGAAGTTTGCGTGTAGATACGTCAAAGATAAGCGAAGTTCAGACTTTGAAGTTCGTTAATAGAGCGTGCGCGTGCCGCAACGTCTTTTCGATATCGATTTTCCCGAAGACGAGGATCGCGTGCAAAAAATTTGATTCAACATTTTTTTTATCTAATTTTTTTTTCTCGTTCATGTCTGCATATTTTGCGACACCGTGTATAGGTGACTCGGTAATAAAGGTTAGGCGCCGTCACAGAAGAACGTGGCGGGTTATCACGCCGTGCGAAAGGAGGATCCATATCGTTTTTCGAATATCGTGTTTTTAAGACGCGCGGTTTCGAGTCCGTTGGTATCGCCGCTGGTGCATTAAGAACTGACAAACAGTGTGTATAAGTTGTATTTCGATCCGAGAACGAACAAGTCCGTGGGCCCAGAAAAATATCAAAATGGTGGCCGTACGACACGGGTGATGTGTACGCAGATATTGGAGTGCATTGTAATTTCAGGAGAAACGCGTGTGAACACGCAACGTATTGTAAAATGGGAGACCCGAAGGCTCAGCACGGTACACAGGAGATGAAAGGCTGGCTATTTAAATGGACTAATTATTTAAAAGGTTACCAACGAAGATGGTTCGTCCTGTCAAATGGCCTACTGTCGTATTACAGGTAGTTTCCTACGTGTCAGTACGCTACGTTTTTAATTACTTCAATTTATAGCCGCCGTATAAAGTCATGCTAGAAACTGATGCGACTAGTTCTCGTAATAATCCGAGAATCACTTTGCGGCAGTTTTTATCCCGTAATCCTGCTGTTTTTTTTTTTTTTTTGTGCAACGGTACAACAATAACAATCATTACGAGAGTTACTTGATTGGACACGATACAGAGTTGTTCCTTTTTTTGAAGTCTCGTCCAAATTCTTGTTTTCGACGCATATCATAGAATACTTTCATATTAGTTTTATATAATATTGAAAAGAAATTTGGAAAGAAACAATACTAAACTGTGCATTAATCTTTACTGCCCGTCTGGTAGATGGGTACGTAGCAATGTCAATGATAACAGTCACTTTTTATGAACATCGAAATCAGTAGAAGTGTATTTGTTGTGGAAATGTATTTTATTTATGTATGTTACATCAATTATACCTGTTTAGGCGTAGAGTTCAGTTTCTTTATGTTCTCACTTTTCTTTGCATACCATAAATTTCATAAGTTGTTTGTTTATTAATTCAAGTAATAAGTACAGTGAACAGTGCTGATGCAAATCTATATATACATTTCTCTGTGATATACCATATAAGTTTTGTATTTAAGGAAACATTCACAGTTTGTATTGTGTATCCAATATAGTGTAAAATCATGCTTAAGATTCTATCAGTGCTGTAAACAATTTGTGCCAAAAGCATAATAAACAAAAGTGTTGTACTAAATATTTAACAGTTTGAAAATGCATGTATATAAACAGCCAATGCAGGCTCTGTCACGTATACTACTATCAATACGGTTTATCCAAGTATTCTTAACGGAATCTAATTCTAGTTTCATCCGAGACTCATGTCTACATTTTTCACACTTCTTCATTTTAGTTCTAGCAATTAAATTCGTGTTGAGATATTGTAAAATATTTAATAACACCGATCTATAGCAAAGGCAGGATATTTTTGTACATACAAAAGCTGGCTTACATTTGTCACACGCATCAGAGAAAATTTATTGCATATTTGCCTTCTATTCTTTTTAAACATGGTGTGAGACTTTTACGTTGGATTATTTATTAACATTAGCCTCGTTATACTTTGTTACAGAAGAGTTACAGAAGAGTACGATACAGTTTTCGATCATCAGAGATGGGCAGAATTTGATACGAATGGAAACTCTGTATAATAACTGTTAATCGATGTAAAACAGCTCGATCGTGTACAACAGATCAAAAGTTGTTTACGCTTTATTCGTTATTCGAATTTTGCACATCTCTGTCGTCTATTCACGCGGAAAGGAAATCTCGATCTTAGTTATCGATCGCGGATACAGGCGCTCTTCGCTTCGACGGATACGTGTGGTTATATACGCGAGGAAATTCCTCTATTCCGTTTCTTTATATTTAGAACATCCGCGTTCCCTGACAACACGCAATTGCCACGATCTTCTTTTTGATTTTCCGCT